CATCCTCTGTGGTGGCAGGTGATGGAGCAAGGTGGGGACAGGGAGGAGGGAGCAGGCGTCCTCATGGGCATACATCTGCAGCTGGACTGGACAGCCTGTCCTGTAGACCGGGCTGTGGAGGGAGGAACTGCCCGTGTCTGCCCCCTCCTCTACTCTGTCACTCCTGGTCAAGTCCCCTTGACCATCAGCTGCCCTGGGCCCTAAGTTGGGTCCCTCCTGGGTCACTCAGTGGGGTCGGACCTGCTCCTTACCCAGGAGAGGGCTGAGGCCTCGGGGCTCCCTGGAGCAGATGCTAAAAGCCTGAGGTGGGGGCAGGCAAGTCCAGAGTGGCATGTGCCCAGCTCTCAACAGCACACCACTGGGACACCGAGTACCGGTCCCCTCCAGCAGCTGACTCTCAGCATACACACTCCCTGATTCCAGGAAACCAGTCCTGCAGCTGCCCGCTCCCAGGCACTGGGGCAACACCTGCCGTGGGATGCTGGCTGTGCGCGTTTCTGGGACGGTCCTCAGCCCCCTGGGGTCGCTGCAGCCTCCTACAGCCTGTAGGGAGGGCGAGGACGTCAGGCCAGACCCCGGCCTGCCCGAGTTCCTCACCCCATCGCAGCAGCCCCTCGGCCAGCACGTTGGCTGCATGAGAGGCCGTACACTCGAGGAGGCTGAGGCCTGAGGCTGAGGTGGCTGCGGCACATCATTGGCGTTTACTGATGACCATGGAGTCCCAGGACACGGTCCAGCAAGCCCTCTTGTTTCCTCCTGCCCCTTCCTGTAGGAGGGTCCTGGCCTCCCGAGGGGACCAGTGTCCATCACCCAGCAATTCAGGAACTCTCTCCTTTGCTGCCCACCACCAAAAGGTCAAAGGTCCCACTACTCTTGGTGGAACTCTTACTCTGTCCCCGGGGGACATTTCTGTCTTTGGAAATCCCAGCAGGACCTGAGGATGCAGCCATGATAAGTTTGTTGGGGGAGAGACAGGGAGGGTGGGCGGGCCGTGCCTGCACTCGCCCCTTGGTCCCCAGGCCCGGGGTTTGCCAGGCTTTACGTCACCCACTGACAGCGCATCAGGTGCAGCGTCCAACCCTGAGACACGCCCCCCCAGCTGCTGCAGTTCCTGGCCTCCAGCAGGCGCCCGGCTGGCTCCCTGGGCCGGCTGCCTGGGGGACCCAGCTCCTGGCCACGGGGTCTTGCTAGCTTCTTCCTGAGGAGGTGCCGGGCTGAGCGTGGACTGTGGGCTCCCCAGGAGGACTCCCTTTGGGGCTTCCTCAGGGCCTCCTTGCAGTGGACAGTGAATTGTCAGTCCTGTGGTCCCGTCCATTCCCAGCTGGCCCCCTGGGCCTGGGCTGTCTGGGGCCTGCACACAGACCGGTTCTGGAGGACAGTGGCAGTGAGATGGGTGTGTGGGGGTCGGCCTTTGCACCTGCTCTGCTCCTGGGTCTGCTCCTGGGCTGCGGCTCGGGCTAGTGCCCTCTGGCAGTGGGTTGCTCACTGCCCACCTCGCCACAGCTCCCCGGGTATGAGGTCACTCACAACAGGCAGCTTAATTCACAGAGGACAGTGTCTGCTAGAGATGGCAGGTTGGCGTCTCCCCCAGGTTTGTATGGCAAAGCCCTGACCCCACATGGCATCATTTGGAGTGGGACCTCTGGGAGGTGACTGGTGACGAGGGGGGGTCCTTGAAAGGACACTGGCACCTTGATGAGGGGAGACACCGGACAGTGTGCTTCCTCTGCTCCATGGCAGGGCAGTGAGAAGCCAGGCCCCTGCCAGCCAGAACACGTCATGCTGGGACCCTCACCTTGGACCAGGGGCCTCCAGAGCTCTGAGAGGTGAGTTGCGGGTTCCTGTGTGATGTTTCAGCAGCCTGAGCCGGGACACTGTTCGGTGGCCAGGAGTCCAAGTGCTGCTGTTCCAACAGGTAATAACTCCTGCTGCAGAACTCAGTCATGCTCATAGCTCTAGTGGTCAGGGCTTGATAGGGCCCCCCCGGCAGCCAGAGTTTTCTCTCTCCACCGAATCTGCCACAGATGGCCCTGTGCTGTCTGCTCTACCCTGTCCCGAGGCCCTAGGGGAGGCACCTGCCCCACAGAACTCTGCAGATACCTCAAGAGGCTCTCCAGTGGGCTGGGGCAGTACCCGACGTGCAGTTGTGCTCCATCCGAAATCCAAAGAGGCCTGTAGTCATGTACCCATGGTGGGACAAGCCCTGTGACACAACCTAGCCTTATGAGTGCATCCTGAAGGCCTTGGGTCTGAGCCCCTAAAAGCCTCAGGGACCAGGGCTCCACGGGGAAGGGCTTGCATCCCACCTCTATCCCGTGTGCACCTTCCTAGGGGACCTGGTTGGCAGGTCTCCGGGCAGCAGGACGCCATCGACACAGTGGCCAGTGGGCCTCTGAAGGCTGCCACAGTGGGCAGTGTCGCTGTGGACTATACTAGGGAGCAGGCTTCACAGCTGAGGCGAGACAACACGGAGTTTGGGGTGTAAAGGCAGACTCCCCTCACCTGCAGGTGGTGCTGAGGCACAGCCACACGCCCTGCCCCCCCCCAGACACTGGGCTTGAGGCTGTGGCTGTGACAGGGTCCTACCCACACCTCCCACAGTGCCTGGGCTTGCTGTGTCAGCCCCATGAATTGCACAGGGATACGTGGGGGCAAGGGCTGGCCATCCTGTCTTCCACGGGGGCTCTGATCTCTGCCAGCTGTCCAGGAGGGCAGGGTGGATGTGCCACTGTGGGAGGGGCAGTGCTCAGGGACTTCCCCCCAACTGGCTCTCCGACACGGCTACACAGGCCAGGGGGCAGAATGAGGTTTCTGCTAGCTGCTGAGTCCCACTGACACATTAGGAGAAGGACCTGGGGACTCTGATGCACCCTCCCCAGCTCAGGGTGCGGCTCTGCTCACCTGCTCAGCCAGCCCGAGCTGTAGCCTGCCACGCTGCGGTCTCCCTCCCCACTGCAGCCTGCCCAGCTCCGAGGACTAGGGACTGCAGCCACACACACCGGCTCTCCCATAGGGTCCTCGCTCAAGCGGAACTCATCTCGCCTTCAGGTAAAGAGCTCCAGGTGGTGATAGTCAGGGGCGGGGCCTGGGAGGGGCTGGAGCTGGCCGTGTTCCAGGGTGGCTACAACAAAGTGCCACAGTGTGGGCGGCTCAGGAACAGATTCATTTCCTCAGCTCTGGAGGCTGAAAGTCCAAGGTCAAGGGGCAGCAGGGTGGGTCCAGGGAAGGCCTCTTCCTAGGGGCAGCTGACTGCCAGCAGAGTCCCCGTAGAAAAAGGGTGAGGGAGTTCTCTGAGGCTCCTTCCTTACTCATGCAGGGATCGCCCTTCTGGCTCTGCCCTCACAACCTAATTGTGCCCACAGGCCTCACCTCTGGTGTTGTACTTGGGAATAGGATTTCAACCTCTGAATTATCAGGGGGGCACGGACACTCAGTGGTACTTCTGCTGGCCAATTCTTGCTTCTTCAAATGGAGAAGTTATTTGGTTGCCCATCTGATTCAACTCCAGGAAAATGAAGACCAGACTTCTCCACTGAATGCCTGGTGGTCTTCCTGCCATCTCTCGCGCCCACTGTGTGCAAGCCACCTGGGCTCAACTCTGAGGAGCTGAGAACCACCATGGAGTATCATCAAGGTCTTCTGAGCCCCCTCAGGAGCACGGTCACTAGATGAGTTCTGTCCTACTGGGCAAGTTCAGTCTAACACTCCCAATTGCCCTCTCCTTTAGTAAGATGTGGAAGGGCTCTGGCTCTTAGTCGCACACTCAGGCCACCCTGCTATGCAGGACCCAGAAGCCGTCCCAGGAAACCACACAGCCACACGCGTCCTTAAGAACCTTGCCATCACCCTCTCCCTCCTGGTCCGTCTCAGGGAGTCCCCTGCCATCCCTCCTGGTTCCTAGGGGCTGCAGAGGTGAGCTGCTGCGCAGCCTCATTCTGGGCCCAGACCGCACCACGGGGTTCTCCCTGGCCTTGCAACACATTCACATGGTGGACACCCGCACCAGGAGAGTGGTGAGGGCCTGAGTCTCTTGCAGGGTCCCCTGCAGTCCAGGGCAGTTTCTCCCACACTCAGTAAGTGTCTGGGGTTTACACAAAGTCTCCCGGCTGGCCAGTGGTGATGTCCGTGCTAAAGGACTGGCCAGACCACACCTCCCTTCCTGGGTGTAGTTACCCTTGTGTGTTTACGCGGGGGATCACCCTTCTGGCTCTGCCCTTAAAACCTAATTGTGACATCATGCACCATCAGAGTAGTGAGGGCTGAGTCTCTTGCAGGGGGAGAAAGGCAACTTGTAATGCTGAGTTTCTTTTTTAATAAGAAGACTTTATTTATGAAAGGAGATAGCAGCTAACAGTTTAAGAAAGCTTGGAAGTGTATATGCAACTCAGAAAATATTTGGCTAAGTCATAAAATTAGCATTTTTAGTCATCTGTAAAGTGCCAAGAAATGTTCCTGGGGAATGCCTGCAATAGGCTTTTTTCTTACTGTTTTGACCCAACTTCACCAGGTACTAGCACATGGTACAGAAACACAGGAGGAACAAACAGAGCTCAGTAGTGGCCGTGCACCCAACAGGCAGCGCGGGCTTGCAGCTGCAGAGGCAGACCCAGGGCAGAGTGGGGCTCTCCTCTGGGCTGCTCCCAGGCCAGCAGCAGTGTCCTGCAGGGACATTTCCATGGCAGAGTGGGGGCATTCCTCCTGGTGCTTCCAGGCCAGCAGCACACCTGTGCTGATGAACACCGTGAGTCCTCAGGATGAGATTGCAGACGTGCACAGCACTCCAGGTCTATGGGGCAAGAAATGTCTGGGACCAGAAACTCAGAGCTCTCTCCTGTACTCAGTACAGTACTGAAACCCACACATGTCTGATGAGGATGTCCAGAAGTATTTGACATGACAAGGGAAGAATGACTTGGTATTGATGCCTGAGTCTAAACGTTGACAGGTAATGAACATTTTGGTTCAAAGCAGATTATTTGTCAAACACCATAGATAATACATTGGCTTTAACTGTTAATTTTTAATAGAAAATGCAATATAAAAAATAATGCTTTGTTAAAATATATGGTACAAGCATCAGACCCCTTAGGAAAGCCCAGGTCCCTTCCAAAGGTAAACCATTCTGACTGGTCTAGTGTGTGTTACCTGGCTTTTTAAAAACTGTTGTAAATTCTACCCTGGAACTTGCAAATATAGAATATATAAATAAGGGTAGGGAATCTGAGCCAAGCAGAGTTAGGGCCGAGAGCTATTATTAGTAAGTCCCACATTACTGAACAGCTACATGTCCCCAGGAATTCACTACAGGAGAAGGTGCAGGGGCACGTAGGACACAGACGGCCAGCCCGGGAGGACCAGGCTCTGTCCCCTGCACATGGAGGGCAGGCGGGAGCCGCTGGTGCACTGCACGTTCTTTTCCAACACACTTCAGTTGGCTCTGCCGGTATGAAGGTGGCCTCAGCCACAGGGGCCTGCACCTGCTGAGAGGTGGCCCCAAGGCCACTCCCTTCCAGGAGGCTCTGTCCACCTATGCGCTCAGCAGTGGGATCTGCCAGACCATCACAGAGGACACGACCTCCTCCGGGGGCTGCTGCCGGGCTTTCCGGCACACCCGCCGGTGGCCCTGGCCCCCACACACCACCAGCACCGAGCTGGCCTTGGCCTTCCTGGGCCGACATGCCCTGCTTCTCGGGGGGGCAGTGGGGTCCTTCAAGAGGTCACAGGTGCTGCTGTCCTCAGACCTGTGCTCTAGTGAGCTGGAGCCCTGGGACAAGCTCAGAGACCCAGATGAAGAGGACAGGTCACTCTTGTGGTTCACTGGTCCCAAGGAGTCTGCCAACCAGATGGCTGTGTCCAGGTCACCTTGGCTTGGACTGGCACCAGTGCCCTCAGTGGGGAGCACGTCCCTCTGGTCTTCATCCTGGGGCTCGAGGCCAGGAGGTGGGCTGTCCCTGGCTTTGTCCTGGTCCTTCCTGTGTAAGGCTGTGGCCGTGACGATGAACTTGACAGGACCGTTGTGAGCATGGTAGGAGACCATGCCTCTTCCTGAAAAGGGAGCAGGTCAACGGCTGTCCGTCAGTCAGAGAGCAGACAGCAGGGGGGACCGGGCCCTGCCCACCCAGGGCCTCTCTCCACCCAGCCGCAGCCTCCCAGCGCTGACCTGGGCGAGGGCTGCAAGGAGGACCCGTGCAGGTCCATCCAAGAGAACGCAGGACCAGGCTTTTACCTAAACAGTCTGTTTCCCGTTTTCCCTATTAAATACCTTCTCATTTGTTCTAACTTTCCTAAATCCTGACTTTTTTTTTTAAGATCTTTGGATTTATTTTCCATATCCTTCAAATTTACATCAAAGGCAAACACCAGCCCTAAATCTTGACTTTTTAAGTTCAAGCCTAAACCGTGTCAGTTTTAGAAACTAAGTGACTATATTCTCAGCAGCTTCTGTCAATGTTGTTTGTTTTTTTAATAATCTAACCTTTTTTTTTTTTTTATTTATTTGGGTTTGAGTGGTGCTGAGGATGGACCCAGGCCTACCCTGCCAGGCAAGCGCTCTACACTGAGCCACACCAGCCCCACTCTGTCCTGTTTCATTGCAGAAAGTTTCTGGGTCTTAGGAAAAATCAATTAAGATCAGGACTTCTCAGTTTCCAGGAGCGAGGTTCAGATTTTAAAGCATCACTGCTATCAGGGACCCCTGGGGCCTCCTGAGCCCACCCAGGCGGGCCGGGCTGCAGACTGGGCCCTCCTCACCAAGCGCGTTCAGGCGGACAGGCCCCAGCTTCACCGGGTTCCTACTCTGGCCAAAGCGGGTGGAGTGGTAAGACCCGCCACCACCACCACCGCGAGACTCCAGCACTCGGCAAGCGGAGTGGCAGAGTGAAGTCTGCCGTGGCCGGCGGGAGCTGGTCTGCAGCGGGCAGCAGTGCTCACCCACGGGGAGGGCCCAGAGCCACCGCTGTGGTGCCACCACTGTGGCAAAGTGGTGCCTGGCGGAGCAGGACAGGCGGTGCAGCAGCAGGACAGGAGGGCAGAGGCCCCCTGCTAGACCAGGCCTGGGCGGGGGCCGTGGCCAAGGGCCTCAGGAGGGAAAGGCAGGGAAGCCCACCGCTGAGCGTCCTGCAGATCCTCATCCGTTAACCAGCCCCCCAGGCTGACCGCAGGACGCATGGACGTGAGGACGCTCACCGTTTCCCAGCCTCCCCTGCCAGCTCAGCCACTTTCTGAGCACTGTCCTGCCCTGCCCTGGACGTTCAGGTTCTCTGTGTCCTGCTACTGAGAACGAGATGCTGGGCGAGGGTCTCTGCCCACGCCTTGCTCCTGGCTGGGCGCTTCCCAAGACGGCCTCCTGGACTGGAAGCTGGTTCTGGACTCGGGTGTTTTAGGTCCCAAGAGCCACAGTGCCGAGCTGCTTCCCTGGAGGGCCGCACTGAAGGGAGGCCAGCCGAGGAGCAGAGAAGCCCAGGGAGCTCCTCCAGGGCCACCGCGCCCAACCGACAGAGCTTCCAGGGGGAGGTTCTCACGGGGCCCGCGACACAGGCAGCCAGACCTACCAGGCACCGCCAGCTGCCACAGCAGAGCTCACACCTGTGCGCCCCCACCCAGGTGAGAAGGCCCACGGGAGGCTCCTGGACCTGAGCTGGAACAAGGGCACCTGTTTCACTACACCCAGGAAGTAAAGCCAGACCAACGGGCACTGCAACCCGGAGTCTCTCCTGGGAGGGGCAGATGGGTGGAGGCGTCCACTCACCGGTCACCTTGGGGATCCCCTGCAGCCGAGGGACCGGCAGGGCCACAACCACACCCAGGCTGGTGCCGACCATCAGCAAGCCGTGGCAGACGAGGAGGCTGGTCACAGAGAGCCGCTGGTGCCCTGGGCAACAGAGAGGGAAGTGGCTTTTGTATCCTGCAGCTGGCTCACGCAGTGATGCCGGAGTAGGGCAGCGGGGAGCTGTGTGCTGCCTGGAAACGCCCTGGACCGGGGGCCAGTCTCCCAAGCCGACACCAAGCCTGGTGGCAGGATGAGCCACAGCAGAGCTCACACCTGTGTGTGCCCCCACCCAGGTGAGAAGGCACACGGGGAGGCTCCTGGACCTGCTGCAGCTGGAACAAGGGCACTGAGGCACCGGCACCTCCCCGCTGCACCTGGCCGGCTCCTCCGGAGGGAGCCAAGCCCCTGGGCATCCGCTGAAACCATCTGCTTCAAGGAAGTGCAGCCACACGTGTCCATGACACACACGTGAAGAGCCGTCCGCTAACCACAAGGGCACACTCTGGCACACCACAGACAAGACGCTGCGTGAGAGAACCCAGAGTTTCCGTCCAGAGAACCTCACAGACATGGTGTCAGGACAGAGGCAGGCCGGGGAGTCAGAGAGGCCCCTGAAGCCCCTTGTTCTGCGCAGCCAGGGCGCTGACCAGGCCAGACAGGGCAGTGGAGGGAGGGCCTCCCACGCACCTCTCCTCTCAAGGGCAATGCCAGAGCTGCCCCAACCCTGCCCGCTCTGCCACCACTGGGAGGGAGGCAGGTCCCACGCCCCCAGGCCAAGCCAGTGTCCAGAGGAGGGACCCGTCTTCTGTAGACCTGAGCTGTTTCCAGTGGCTCTGCCCTGGCCCGTCCCAGCTCCAGGGCCAAGGCAGACTGGCAGAAGTCACTCCATGAAATGTTTAGGCAACAGGAAAAATAAAGAAACAGATTCAAAACCAACGCACTTGGTTTTATTTGAAACAGACTCATGTTTGTTAAAAAGCTAAAGCACTCATGATCCCAGGAACCCTGGAGTTGTGGCTGCTGAGGGCTGGGGGCCGGGGACACAGCGCAGCTGTGGTTGACCTGGACTCACCCTATGTGAGCAAGGTGGTTTTCTTCTCAAAGCTCCCGAGAAGATTCCTCAGAAGACTTGGAATGAACCACCACTGGACCCAGTTATCCACTCCGTGGTATATAGACAAAGGATTTAATACCAGCACCCTACAGGGACCCAGCCACATCAACGTTTATAGCAGCTCAACTCAAGAGTAGCTAAGCTGTGGAACCAACCTAGGTGTCCTTCAACAGATGAGTGGATAAAGAAAATGTGGCATCTATACAAAATGGAATATCATTAAGCCATAAAGAAGAATGAAATTATGGCATTTGCCAGCAAATGGATATAACTGGAGACTGTCATACTAAGTGAAATAAGCCAATTCCAAAAAAAACCAAAGGCTGAATGTTCTCCGATTATGGATGCTAACCCAAAATAAGGGGGGAGAGGGGATAGAAGTTCATTGGATTAGACAAAGGGGAACGAAGGAAGGGAGGGGGTGGGAGCAGGAAAGACAGCAGAATGAACCAGACGTAACTCTCTCCTTCATATATGAAACATGACCAGGAAACTCCACACCATGTGCACCACAGAATGGGATCCTACTTGGGAGTACGTCTTATGCCATGTATGTGCAATATGTCAAAATGCACGGCAGCGTCAAGGGCATCTGGAAGGAGGAAAACAGACGCCAACAAAACAAAATGAAGCTCCTGAGACAGGCGCTGAGGTGGCTGGGGTGGACGCTCGGCAGAGGCCACACCCCTGCTGCCCCACCGTCCTCAAGCCAGGCTCAGGGGGAGCGTGGAGGAACAGGAAGGTCTTCCTGGAGGCTCAGCCTGAGCCGTGGTGAGTGTTCTAAGCATTAAGTGCCATCATCTGAGGAGACAGGGACAGATGTGCACAGGAGTCCAGTGAGACTCGGAGGCCACTCCCTCCGACCCCGGGACAGCGAGGAGGAAGAGTCCGGGCTGGTGGCAGAGGTGGCACTTGGGACTGATTCGCTGCCCTGTTTGGGTTTCACAAACAGCGTTCTCCACAACCTGAGTGCAGGACGGAGAAGCTGCTCTCCACGGAGCCCCCAAGTTCACTGACCCGTCTCACCACCCGAGGGAACGGCTGCCCCAGGGGGGTAAGGCTGCACTCCCCGCAGCCTTCTGAGGCTGTGCCTCCTCAGCCAGGACGAGGAGGAGGGTGTGCTCAGGAAGGGTTTACTCCATTCCCGTGGTGCCCCACCTGCCTGTCCCAGGGGCCTGGACTTTGAGAGGGCCCAGACCCAATTAAAAACTATGCAAATGAATATAATAACTGTTTTACGGTCGTTTTAATCTGACATTCAAAAATATTTTGGTTTGGGAAACAACCTTTTAATTTTTCTACAGAGGAATGTCTGAATTGAATTTTCCTCCACAGTGAATTATAAATTTGAAGTGTTGGCTTAGGGCTTTTTTTAAATATTTATTTTTTTTAGTTGTAGATGGACACAATTCCTTTACTTTACTTATTTTTTTTTTGTGGTGCTGGGCGAGCGCTCTGCCCTGAGCCCCAGCCCCTGGCTTAAGGCTCTGGAGAAACATCTGACATATCTTTACAAACAACTTCAGAGACAACGAATGGGCTTTCAAAAGTCCCCTCTGAGAGTAACTAAGAACAGAGTAGGGACGAAGAGCAGGAGAAGAAGATTAACATTAAACAGGGATGAGAGGTGGGAGGGAAAGGGAGAGAGAAGGGGAAATTGCATGGAAATGGAAGGAGACCCTCAGGGTTATACAAAAGTACATACAAGAGGAAGTGAGGGGAAAGGGAAAAAGAATACAAGGGGGAGAAATGAATGACAGTAGAGGGGGGTAGAGAGAGAAGAGGGGAGGGGAGGGGAGGGGAGGGGGGATAGTAGAGGATAGGAAAGGCAGCAGAACACAACAGACACTAGTATGGCAATATGTAAATCAGTGGATGTGTAACTGATGTGATTCTGCAATCTGTATACGGGGTAAAAATGGGAGTTCATAACCCACTTGAATCAAAGTGTGAAATATGATATATCAAGAAATTTGTAATGTTTTGAACAACAATAAAAAAATTATAAAAAAAAAAGTCCCCTCTGAACAGTCAGATTTCCAACAAGTGCTTGTAATGTTGACAAAAAGCACATCAACCAGGAGGAGGAGCCTCCCTGCTCTTGCTGGCAGTGTGTCCTCCGGCTCCGCCCTTCTGTCGGGAGCGGCACGTTCAGGACAACTGAGTTTCCTGAGTCCTCAGCTTTGGCACGGGTCACCTGGGAGTTCTCCTGGCCTCTGCCAAGGAGCCCTTTATTCAGAAGTGTCTCCTGAATAAACACACAGGCCCACGCAGCCTCTAGGGTGGAGGCCGGGTGGAGGAGGGCGGGAGGTGACCAGCAGCCGTGGGCCCCAGAGGCTCTGCAGAGGACGGCTGGAGCTCAGGTTAGTGACCAGGTGGAAGCAGGTAGAACCTGGGTTCTCTTTCCTAACTGGTCTGAAAGCACTGAGGAACCAGGTCAGAGACCAGTCCCTGGGAACGGCTGCTGATTCGCTTTCCAAGGGGCCCAGGGCCAGGCATGACAGCACTGCTGCCCGTGTCCGGGGATGCCAGGCCCCGGGCACTGCCAAGTCACTAGGAGGAAACCCAGCTGCTCTGCGTGTCCCTGGCACACCAATCACCTGGCACCCAGTTTAAGCTGCTCAATGTCCTTCAACATGCTCTGGGGTTTACTTTAAATGGAAATTTTGGTGCTTTTATTAGGTCACATCACTTCTGCGGGCTACATCTGCTCGCAGGGACACGGAAGGGCTACAGGTGACCCACACGTCCTGCTTTGTGTAGACTGGACAATGCAGGAAACATCTATGCCTGCTGCAAGGGACCCTGGCTGGCTAAGGCCTGGAGCAGGCACAGTGCCCTCAAGTCCACAGCTGTCCATTCTTCACCCTGTGCTGGACATCCTGTGACCAGTCCAACAAATGCACATCTCAGTCCTAAACTGTGTCCTCTCGCCTGTTGGACGGCACCACGTGGTGTGTGTGTGGTAGGGGTGCCACCGAAGCAGCCTGGCTAACTGGTTCCACAACTGATCCACACAGAAGGCAAAGACCCCGCTCACGGGGCTGTATCCCCATGCTCCGCAGTCGGAGCCTGCTGCGATCTCAAGGAAGGACAGACTGGGCTGGGGTGTGGCTGTTTCTTTTTTTCTTCAAATTCTCTTCTTTGTTGGCCTGTCTTCATCTGCATGCCATCTTCAATTTTATATCCCTAGGACGCACAGAAAGGCACTTTCGCCTCACCCTCAGGTGTGTGTACGTGATTCCTCCTGGAGTCCAGACACCAAGCACTTAAGCGTAAACACAGTCATGCTCACAGTCAGACCCGGCAGAGCGGACCCTCTGCCTTTGTGTTCTCTGAACTGTTGAGGGCCACAGCCGAGTCGGGATGACGCATGGCATTATTGCCAGGAAGGCCCCTGAGATGATGATGGTTATGTTAAGCTGTGTATTCAACTGTATATCAGACCCCTGCTGTCCGCCTGGCCTGCTACTTTTGGGGATTCCTGGGGAGTTTGTGTTGGTTGGGGAGTGCCGGAGGAGGGATTTCCAGAGGAGGGATTTCCGGTTGGTGTGTGGCGTTCGAGGGAGTGCGGAGAGTAAAGGAGTTCCTGTCTTGAACCTACAAGGCTGTGTGGCGGCTCGGTTATTTTGTGCCCAGCCAGAGTGCGGCACTGAACCACAAGACAGGAGGGGACAATCTCACGCTGCACCCTGAGGACACCACCTGAGCCGGCTTCAGAGGCACAACAGACCACTCTGCATTTGCAGTGCTGCCTGCCGAGCCTGCCCTCGACTGCCACCTGCCCAGTGGACAGGCAGCAGTGGAGCCCAGAGCTGGAAGGCAACCTGCCCCTCACGACACCAAACCAGAGCCCACAAGGCCTCGTGGGCACCTTGGCTGGGGTGGGGCGGGCGGGGACGGGGGAGGGCTAGGAGCCTGGGCGGGCCTGCCTTGATTCTGTGACGCCATGCGCACAGACGTTTCATACAGGTGCACTCCGCCCACACTGGCCGGGGCCTCCGTTTCCTCGGTTTCCTTCTGACTGTCTCAGCAGAGAGATGGACAGACACCAAGGCAGAGCAGGCCCAGCCTTTAGAGCAGGCCCTTTATCACCACGCCCCATCGCCAGGCGCCCTGGGCACGGCGGCCAGAGGAGTGGGTGTGTGGGCAATGCTAGATCCAACTCGTCTCCTCCCAACAGTAACAGGTCCACCAGCCAACACCTGTCCCCCGGCCTGTGCTTGAGAGAACAACCTTCAAGTCCCCACCGCGTCCACATGCCTCTGGCCAGGGGCCGAGCCACTTCTCTAAACATGCACGTTATGTTACACAGGTCTTTGCTCTTCTCACTAAAAGTATCCTCTACACGTCCTGAAGACGATTTGCACAGCTGGCCTCAAGGAAAGAAGCGTCACCACGGCACCCCAGGCCTTCACCCCCACAGTCCCCAGGCCTCCACTGCCCCACTCCCCGCCCCGTCCCCATCCCTCCTGTGGAACGAGACCCTGTGTGCCTTGAATCTCGATTACTGATCTCTTACATCATAAATGGCCACTGCTGCAGTCATGACGTGTACACGGCCCAGAGCCTACGATGAGGGGACGCCTCAGGAGGTGAGGCCAGGAGGGGACGGGGCCTGGGGCACCAGTGGGGGTCCTGTGTGGGGTCAGACTCTACAGCCCACTTCCCTCCTGCCTGGGTGCACACATCCAGGAGCGAGGACTGGGCTCTCCCCAGGGCCTGCGTCTGGTCACGCACTGTGACCAGACCTTCAGAGCCACAGCCCTGTCCTCATTAGCCGCCTGGGGTCTTCTGCATTTCCATCACAGCAGCATCGAAGAAGCTCCCCAGGCCCCTCCCTGCCCCCGAGCACTCCAGCCCAGGAACGCCCCACAGCATGCCCAGCCCTCCCTCCCACCAGGCCCACCGAGCCTCCACCCCACGCACACGCCCAGAGCACACTGCCAGTCATCTGGCCCAAGAGGGTCTGACCGCTTCGACTTGCCCTCCGTGGGCGAGGAACCAGGCCGAAGTCCCAGAGCACACAGGAACGCCACCGAGCACAGGAGGCCGGTCGCCAGCCGCTGACGGAGGGGGGCGCTCGTCCTCAGCAGCAGCTGTGCTGTTCCAAGGCGGAACCTACTCCGGTACCCACTGCCCAGTTCCGTCCCGCCACCCCCCACTCCCATTCTTGCTCCCATCCTCCCTCACACTGTCCAGGGCAGGCAGCCTGGAAGGAGACGCCCTCCGTTCCTCCCGCTGCCTTTCTACACGGCTGCAGACAGTCTCCAAATCCCTCTGCAAGGGCTGCCTCCCATCCCCAGCCCTCAGTGACCCAGGTCAACAACATGGCCACTCACGGCCATGACAGCCCACGGTCCTGTTCTGGGGGCGCTGGAGTCCTTTCACGCTTACCCGCCCACACAGGCTGCACAGGCTACAGACGGGCCCCTCGCCCACACCAGCTGCACACTCGCCCACACCAGCTGCACGCTCAGACCACCGGGCACATGCTCACGTGTGCTAGTTACATGCTCACGCACATAAACCTCATGCACGCAGGCCACAAGCTCACACACACGGGTCCACACTCGCACAGCACATGTGCTCACAACAGTAGCTACGTGCCTGTGCACAGGAAGAACATGCACACCCAGGGGCTGTGAGCCTACACAGAGAGAACAATCCTCAAGTCCCCAGCAGCATCCACGGGCCTCTGGCCAGGGGCTAAAGAGTTCCACTTCACGCCCTCCCTGCCCTCTGCGACCCCTCTGCTCCATGCTCGACTCTCCCGGGCACCTCTGCACCTTGGGCTTCCGTCCTTCCTGTGTTCCTGACCTCAGGGCCTTGCTCCCCAGGGCCTGCTGACATGCTGGGAAATCCCACAGCCGCCCACTCCGCCCACTCTGCCCAGGGGTCTGACTGGCTCTGCTCGGGGCCATGGGTCAGGGTAGGCTGCCCCCTGCTGGCCCCGCCCGTACCTGGCAGCACGCTGTGCACAGGGGCAGTGATGTTGACGTCCTGCAGGTGATTCAGGGTCTCTGTGTGGAAGAGACGGAGGGTGGACCCCGAGGTAAAGGCGATCCAGATCCCCACGCCGGCCACGGCCATGTGGGAGATGACCATTCCTTCTTCTTGGTGGGCCTCCAGCTGACTCTGCAGGGGGTGGTCAAAAGAAGGCCACGCCGAGGAGTCAGGTGGCTGGAGCCGAAGCTCCATGCAGTCTCCAAGGCCACCCCAGGAGACCAAGCTGAGCGATTCCTGTGGGCTGCAGGGTCCAGCTGGAGCCCCTCAGCGACCTGGGACAAGGAGACCATGCTCTGGAACCACGGGTCTTCCTGCAGTGGGACACCACAGGTAAACTGCTCTTGACCCTCGGCAGACCAAAGTGCCCAAAGAACTCCCTGTGACACTCCGCTACCCTGGCCTCGTCAGGGGCTGGAAGAGCCCTAACTTGAAACAGAGCAGCCACAGAACCCCTGCCGGGCCTGGCCAGCACTGAGTGGCTGGCTTGGTTCAGCTGGATCTCATTGCCACAGATGTTTCACTGGGAAATCTGCACAGCAGCAGAGCCCCAGGACCAGTGCAGTGTGGGGCGGCCTCCAGGCTGGGCACCCAGGGCTGGGATCACAAGCCTGGAGGTGTGCACTTCAGGGGGCTGGCCCCCATAGGGAGCAAACCGGGTCCTGCCAGTGTGCCCTGGACAGACTGCACATGTGTCCACCCCACAGCAGCCAACCACTGCCCACTGCGGTCCCCGGGCAGGGCAGGGGCGACTGTGATTAGGCCCTCTGCTCTGTCGTGGGAATGGAATGAGGGCGGTGGCCTTTGTGTGGCTCTCTTCCTGGACATGTCCTCAAGGCCCATCCGTGCTGCGGTGGCAGGACCTCACCCTTCCTTGGGCAGAACACCTCCCGTCATTTTCAGAGACCAGGTTGTCTGTCCTTCATCTTGGATGGATCTGTGCTGTATTCACACCACCAATAAACACCGTGCTTGGTCACCGTGTACAGGACTTCGAGGATGTGAATACGAAGTTCTCTTGGGGATGCACCGGCGACAGGAAATGCTGAGCAGGGGGCACCTGTGTCCCTTCCTCAGGAAGGAACCTGCTCCGGGGAGAACATGACCCTGTGCCTTCTGCACATGCCCTCCAGGGCCTGCAGCACTGGCGGGTTCCACTGGCCTTTCTCCAAGGACTTCTACCTGGGCAGCTTCTCTGCAGAGCTGTCTGTCCAGTTCCCTTGCCCACTGTTGGTTTGCTATGTGAACTGGACATCTGATCGTATCACATGAGCTGTATTCATTTTATCTCATTCTTTCTACTTTCTTGTGTATCCTGAAGCACAGTTTTAATTTGAGTGAAATCCAATTTATCTCTTTTCCCACTGACACAGTTGCTTGTGATTTAGGCGTTTTATATGTATATGTATATATCTTGGTGGCTCTAGGGACTGAACCGCAGGGGCTTTACCACTGGGCTACATTCCCAGCCCTACTGACCTTCCTTCCCTCCCTCCTCATCCCTCCCTCCCTTTGGCCCACCCCTTACTTTCTCCCAACCGTCTTTCTTCCTTTCTTTTCTTTTGGGTACTGGGGTTTGAACCCCGGGATGCTCTATCACTGAGGTACATCTGCATGGCTTTTCACTTTTTAGTCTGAGACAGGGTCTCACTAAGTTGCTGAGGCTGGCTTTGAACTCGCAATCCTCCTGCCTCAGCCTCCCCACCTGCTGGAATCATAGGCCGGGCCACGGCACCTGGCCAGGAGTCCTACCTAGAAGCTGTGGCTTGGTCCGAGGTCACCAGACTGGCCCTTCGGCTTCCTTTGAGAGTGCTCATGGTTGGAGCTCTTCTGCTGGGTCTGACCCACCCACATCAGCGTTTGCATGTGGCGTGGGCCCAGGGCGACGGCTGCAGACAGTCCCCGCCACTGGGTTGTTCACAGTCGGAACATGCTCTTGCTCCTGCACTCGCGCTCTGCTTCCCTGGTCTACACGCTGTGCTGCCCTGGTCACGGTGGCTGTTCAGGGAGAGGCTGAGTTGGGCAGTGTGAGTCCTCCAATTCTGTTGCCTTCCCACATTACTCTGGCCGTGCCGGACCCCTTCATTTCACACTGAGTGCTAGGATCTGCTTGCCCAATCTGCAGGTGCTGCGGCCACCTGGGGACCCTCCCTTCCGATCTACACGGGGTCTCCCGCTAGTTTCCAGGGCACGTGGCTGTACTCTTTGTCAGGTTTGTATCTAAGCACTCCCTCTTGGTGACGGCTGTTCTCAGCACTGCCAGTTATCTGCTGGACTCCTGGGCACTGGCCTTGGAACCTGTGGCCTTGCTGGCTTGTTCACTCTGTTCCAGGGTGGTAGTAATCTTCTGTGGACTTCTTAGGGTCTCCTGCTCCTCCTCCATTCAACCTCGACCCTCGGGCCATCCCTTTCCTCCTTCCCAGCTGCCTGGTCAGAGCCTCCGGCTGTGTGCTCTCCAGAGTGCCGCAGGCGGACATCCTGTCTGCTCCAGAGCCTGGCCGTTCACCCTTCCCTCTGCCCTGAGGGGCCAGTGCCTCGTCCTCAGCCTCCTCTGCAAGCTCATCCCAAGGGCAGCTCACCCCTAGCACAGCTCCCAAGCTGCCTCCAGCACTGCTGTCCACTCCGGTGGACCGTCCTCCTGAAATCCCACACCCAGAGTGCCTGCTGGGAGCCCTGCTGCACAGTCAGCGGCGGTCTCCTCCCTGGCTTATGTCAGCCAGAGGTCCCACCTCCTGTCCAGGCACAGGACGACATAGGCAGACCTGTCATGGACAGCAGGCTGTGGCCTGCGTCCCTCCACGGTGAGGAGCAGCGGTCTCCAGGCTGTGCCTGTCCCTGAGTCCCCTATTCTACACTGCAGCGGCTTGTCAGGAGCTGCTCTGCTTGGGCCCAAGCGCCATGGTAGGAAGAGCCAAGCACAAGTCCGCAGCCCTTCCTTCCTTGGCACACCCTGGCACACCCTGGCAAATAACCTTCTCCTGCCCAACTGTCAATGAAATCAGGAGCACCTGGACCTGGAGGCATCCCAGATCATACCAGGAACACGACACAGGAGCTTAACAACCCCCCGAGGACCTGGTTACAAGAGGAGGAGCCCGAGGCGGGACACGGGGCACACTGGCCCTGCCACCAGGTCATATCACAGGCCTTGCCCAGGGAAATCCACACAACAATGAACCCAGATTCTGCACCCCTGGGCCTCAGCCTGGTGCAGTTCCTCTTGCACTCGATGACAACGCCCCGGGATGACGTGTCAGGCGGACACTCTGAATCTGCCAGAGCCTTGCCCTGAAGACGCTGCAGAGCCGTGTGCTAACTGGCATCCAGTCTGCTCTCGGGCTGTGCTCTGGGCGCTGCGTCCTTTAACTGCGCTGCCTTCCCTTGGCCTCTGACATCCCCGTAGGAAGGCCGCGTGGGGCTGGACTACAAGACTCTTGGGATGACACAGCTCAGGGGCTCCTGGTGGCCACGCTTCCCTGACTGGTCTTGGTACACTGAACAAGCCACAGCACCAAAAATACCAAGCAGAAAAACACAGGAAGGCTAGTGGTGGCCCAAGGGAAGAAATCAGGCCTGAGTCTGTCCAGGACCCTGACCAGGAACCTCGTGGCTCTAACCAGGCCCTGATCCCCTGCAGCGCTGGAGACAGCATCCACACCTGTTCTCAAGAACTTGACTATGCCAGCAACTCTCCAGCTTTGCATCACAACTCAGAGGATGCTCCGGGCTGGCGGTGTAGCTCGGCGACAGAGCACAGCTTAGCATTCACAAGGCCCTGGGTTTCATCACCAGCACACACACACAAAAAGAAGTTCTCCTTATTGGGAGCCGAAGTTCCACTTCCCTCTGTACTTACAGAACATGCCACAAGAGCTCATCCCGAAATACCGGAGAGTGGCCTGGTCCCCACCGGGGGAGCTGATTCACCCCCTAGGAAACCTCTGGACAACATCTTGAGAGGTCGATAATGACCCAACTTTGTTTCTAAACTTGCAGCTATTTACACAGTCAATGGACCATGTCCTCAGACAGGTGCTGGACCCTCACCTATCTGGACAGATTTTCTATGACCTTGTATGTGAGCATTAAAGGAAGGTGTAATCATGACGAGATTCATTTTAATGGCTGAAAAAAACACCCGTGTGCCCTGTGTTTGCTTAGAGAAAGACGGGGTGAGAGATGGTCGTGGGTAAACAGGACAGCTGGGCACAGGCCTTGACAGTAAAGCCATGTAAGAGTGGAACTTTTTGGAGGGCCAGGCCACGAGGTGCCAGCTGCTGCTGTGCCCAGGGAACCACCACAGAGCGCTCGGTCACCAGCCCCGTCAGGCACTCCCCTCCTCTGGCACGCAGCCCCCAGGCTCTGCACAGCACACCGTGTCCCACCAGGAACCCTGCTCTGAAATGCCTTCCCCACGCCACGCAGCCACCTGAAAGGACTCACCTCCACAGCATGAGTCTCTGTGCTGATGAGGAACACCTGACCGCCAGATGCTGCCCACAAGGTGTCTTCCATCAGCAGGAGGCTTCTAACTGGCAGGACGCCCAGTTTGATCACTTTTTGAGGTTCTGAATTCCAGGATCCATCTTAAAAGAAAACACTTCTTTTAATTTCATTTGAGTTCAGGTAACCATGCACAGGGGCAAATAAACAGGATCATAGATCACTTTAAATAACAGACAACCAAAATATCCACAGCAATTTTGATGCTTATGCTTAATTCTGGGTGTGCCCATGGCCTCAAGAATTAATGCCATCAGGGAGTCTGTGTGAGGAAGACAGGCGAGGGCCCAGAGGGGGGTGTGGCAAACAAATGGCTCATTTGCCCTGAACCTCAGATGGCTCATCTGTAGAGTGGGGACGATGCCTCGAAGACTGGAGAATCATAAGCAAGATAAAGCACGTAAAAAGCTTAGCACAGCACCCAGGGGGCAAGAGGGGCAAGCAACACTACTGTGATGTGATCGTGGCTGGAAGGAGCTGCATTCAAAATAACTGAGCAAACGTTTAGAGCTTCCCATCATCTGCTAGATCTGCACGGCATCTGGAGGAGAAACTGCACCTTCACTGAACGTGAAAAACAATCCAAAGGGAAGTGAACGGCTTTCCTGTCTTCTTCCACTGCTCCCGGTCCTGACACTCAGGGAATACGTTTTGGTTTGAGAATATTTTCAAAGATCTACAATGAGGTCTATCACACTTCACATGAAGTATGAGTCAGAAACTTATCAATAGAAATTACTTCAAGCAAGACTTACTACAGATTTTAAAGTGACTGATGTAATTACCCTGTAAATGATTAAAACTAATTCTTTGATTCTCGGTCTAGCCACTAATTAAGCCACCATGCTCAAAAACGTAACTGAAGTGTCACTGCCTCACTGCCTTCGGCCTCACATCAATCAAGGCAGCACACTTCGTTCAGAGAACCAGGTCTTGGTTCTACCCTGTGCTCTGGCGCTGAGCACTGACGCCCTGCCCCACAGCTTACTGTGGGCACCTGTCTGAAGCTCAGCTGTGCAGTCTCTGCCAGCAAGCTGTGGCTCTGACTGCTGTGGGGACTCCACGCAGTGACGCAGCTGAATGGTGTTCAGGGCACCCACAGCCTCCGAAGACACTGGCCTGCCTTTCACTCTGCACCTGCACCAGGTCCAGTGCAATTAGGCATCTGAACACAAACCCAGGCACACACACACACGTGCACACCCACTAACACACATGTATACACATTCCTTCTCATTCACACGTGCACACGTGCACTTGCACACACAGGAACAAGTACACACACGTATGCACACACACCAACACAACGCACACACACCCTCCCACTCACATATACACACATGGAAGCACACATGCGCACCCACAGTACACATGGCTGCACACGCACATGCCCTTACACATGCATGCACAGGCCTTCCCATCCTGGAAAGCAATGCAGCCTCTCCTTATGATGGGACACAGAAGTTCAGATGGACAGGTTTTCTCTGACTTTCACATGCTCCTGAGGGCAAAGTGGCTTCTGCCCACTAGCCGTCCAGGATGGTACTGCACTGACCCACTGAGAGCAAGCCACCTTTGAAACAAGACCCCAAAGGTCAGAGGTGGGATACTCCAGACGTTTACCTTGGTTGAGGATCCCGCTCCCACAATTGAACTCTGATTTCTAAGCCTCGTAGCTACTCTTTCTAGATACTGTAGGCTTGTCTCTATGGGGGGGCCACGTGCAACGTGAATCTGGGCCGACAGGACCGCCTCTGGCAACAGCTCCCCCTGCATTTGTGCCTCAGGCCAGGCCTCTCAGTCCACCCACACCAGTCACAGTCCATGCACAAACTACTGACACTTTGAACCTGTGGCATCACTCCACCTGCTGCACCTAGGGTGGCATGAGGGGGCTCCACCCTCCAGGGAATTCCCACTGTGGGGGAAGGGCCCGATGCAGCCCCTGGCCATGGAAACGACTCAGGAAGGTCAGAGGCCAAGTGCAAGGTAGTCCTGTGCCTGGGCTCAGGCTGGTGCAGACCTCCAGGAGGGACAGACTCTGAGCAGGACCAGGGCTAACAAAGGGGGGTTTGCAGGGGAGCGGGGCTCACGGGCCAGGGCGGGAACCGGGACTGCATTCCCAGCACACGGGGAATCCCTGACTGCTTTATGCAGGAGAGGGCCAAGGTCTAATCGGCAGTTTTAAAAGCTCACTAGCGAACGCGGGGAGGGCAGACCGCAGGAGTGCAAGACGAAGACAGAGGTGACACAGGAACCCACGTGGGCGCAAGGCCTCCTGCAGCAGGTGGTGATGGTGGGGGCTGGCTGCAAGTCCAGGAGCAGGGACAAGAGGTGCTGGAGGGTGGGCCACAGGACAGGAGGGAAATCCCAAGGGGCACGGAGCCTGGCTGCAGGACGGTGTCCCCTCCTGGTGGGAGCAGCCTTTGCTGGAGGAAAGCCCTCTGCTGCACTAAAATCCCTCAGGGCAGGGAGAAGCACCAAAGGGCGCTGGGCGCGTGAGCCCGGGTACAAGGCCAGCCCGTGGGCAGTGGTGTGGGCCTGGGGTGGCAGTGCAGTGGCGGGGCAGAGAAGGGTGGGCTCCTGGCTGCAGCACAGCAGGTCTGCACTTATCCCTGCATGAGAGGAGCCGGGGGGACCTGGCCAGCAGCCGTGCACAGGGCCGGGAAGCCCAGGAACAGGGTTCCCAGAGAAGGGACAGTGGAGGTCGTGAGAGAAGGGCTTAGGACAGTGGTGCTGTGCTGACGCTACAGGCTCTAGAAGGCCAACAGACAGGGAGAGCAGCTGGACTGCACACGCACCCCCACCAGCTCCCGCTGCTAGCAGGACAAGACGGGAGACAGGGAGCCCAGGCTGGGCAATCCGCAAGGCTGCGAGGGCCCCGAGGCCAGGCAGTGCTCCTCTCTGCTGCCCCAGAGCCACAGAACTGCCAGTTAAAGGTGGACAGGTGGCAAAGAGGGCTGGAGGTTGAGGGACCCGGAGGAGGACCAAGAACCTCAGAGGCAGGAAGGACCCTGCTGGGGCAGGAGGAGGCTGGAAGCACCACATGGAGCTGCCAGGGGAGGCAGAGAGGCTAGGGCCTCAGTGCAGTGGGCAGGGTGGGCGGAGTGGACGGAGCCCCGGGTGGGCTCCAGGAGAGCACACTGCGCAGCATGGAGCCCACGTGTCCCACGGATGCCTTTTGAGAAGGAACACGTCACAGAAGCCTGGGACCAGAGGTGACAGGCGCCAAGGGAAGGTGGGATGGAAACGACCCCAGGAGTGGTCTGGTGGGAGCGCGGTACCTGCAGCCTTGGTGTAGCTGGCCACCGAGCCGTTGACCAGGCCAGCATACAAGCCCTGCGGCGAGCAGGCCAGGCTCAGGACCGTGGACTTCTCGGGAGTGAAAAAGTGCTGAAGCCTCACTTTCTTGGAGCCTTGGTTGCTTTTGTAAATGGAAATGCTTTAAAAGAAAAACACGAGTTAGTCTGCACACTGCCCCTCCCCCCCCCCCCGCCCAGAAGGCCCCGTGCCCTCGACAGCAGGGTGCCCATCTCCTTGTCCTGCTCCCTGTTGAGCCCACCTCCTGCTCCGAGACACACTGGCTGCATTTCCAACAGGTCTGCAGCACTCTGATTTCTTTTTTATATTAAAAATAGAAATTCTAGGTCTTAAAAATAATTAGATCTTCCTATGGCTTAGAACTTCACATCAGGAAAATCATTTTAACTTTCCACTAAAGGATGTCAACGTTCAACGCGATCATAACACCGAAAAATAGCTATTTTATTCCAAAATGCAGGAGTGGTGTGCTTTTAAAGCATGATAAGAATGAGTACCTTAGGGACCAACAGCAGGTGTGAAACTTCCATTGCTCTTTGGGGTCTCCTAGAATAATTCCCAGGGCCCAATCACTGGTGACTTCAGAGCGCAGAGACCTATCCCTCTCCCCAGATCTTGTCATTCCCGCCTGCTGCCCGACGCTCACGCCAACGCCTATTCCCAGGGTGGGCCCTAGGTGTCTGGGCACAGCTGAGGCGACCTTGCCACAGCCCACGTGACCTCTACCTTCCCTCCTCCGTGCCCACACAGATGGTGGGCACTTCAGATGCTCTGGTGGCCTGGGCCTCAGGGTCCACGATGGTGCTGGGCTCCCGTTGCTGCTCCTCGGCAGGAATGTACCCCATACACAGGATGCGGGACTCGACGTTGAAGCACTCGATGACTTTGGGGGTGGAGTTGTGAAAGGAGACAATGGCAATCTGACCCATCTGGTCACTGCAACTTCCAATCTGATCGGGGAGTTAAGAAAAAGAGAGTGAGGGTGCATGGGAACCCCGGGACTCCCAGAAGAAAGGCAGCCTCCTGTGAGGATGGACCCCTCACAAAGCAGTCTGTCTCTGAAGCAGCTGCTCCCAGGCCCCTGGCCCTTCAACAAAGTTGGGTCTTTAAATATGCAATAACAGGGGATAAGTTTGTTTTTAAAAAGACATGCATTAAAAACCACACACCCAGGGCTGCTGTGGCAGCTCAGTGGTAGAGTGCTGCTCAGCACTGGGTGCGATCCTCAGCTCCACATAAAAGTAAATAAAGGTATCGTGTTCACACACCCACTCGTCACTACACAAGGGCAAAGACCTATTCACACAGACCTGAAGGGCAAATCATATCCACCTTAAGTAAGTCAACGTTGGAGGTTCACAGCCCTCAGCTAAGAGAACAAGACTCAAAAATAAAAAAGAATACGCCCCAGGGTGGGCCACCCCTTCTCATGTCCCCCTGCGTGCAGCCCTCTGAAGACCTGCACCAGAAGGGCATCTGTGCACCTGCTACAGCGAGTCCCTGAGAGTATGCGGCAGACTCGGTCTTCCAGCCGCAGCTCCAGTCCAGCTTGTGTACGGGGCAAGGACGGGTCCCTACTAAGGGCCAATCCAAGAGAGCCAGGCTGACCCTGATGACGGACCCTTTCTTCCCCACCGATTTGAGCATGTTCTTAGACCTCCTACTCCACATTACAACGAAACCCTCCTTTGCCCTGTCGGGGAGGGAAGATCAACTGCAGCGTCCCTGTGCCAGCCCTGGGGAGTGGGGTGTCGCCAGAAGAGGAGAAAACCCCCAGCTAGCCCAGATCCCTGTGGGCGGAAAACCTGCATCCCCAAGGCAATGACGCCTCTGCTCTCCTTCACAGATGCTATGAAATGCCAGCCAGCCCGGCCGCTGCGCTGACAGCACGGCTAGGAACACCACTCGGGCAGGAGCTCTGCCTGCAGCGAGCAAGGCCTTACCCTGGACCACAGTCCAGCTGGGAAGAGCTGGGCTTCGGGCTGAGGGTGGACCTGAGACCCTGCGCCTGAGGACTGTCCTCCATTTGCACAAACTAGGAAGGGCCACTGCAAATGCAGGGTAATTTTAGACGCTGTGCTTCACTTGGAACAAATTAATTCCAATGGCCAAGTCTCCAGGGTAAAAAGCCACCAATGTCTGGAAACGAGGAAAGTCCTTCTAATCCAACCACCAACAGGCAAGAAATAGTAAAATGGCTCTTACACAAGTCTGGATGAAATTAGATCTTGTAAAAGTTTTACATGGAAAAGGGCAGAAATAAACATTTTAATTCCTAGAACTTCGTATCTTTCCCCAGAGTCATCAGCTCCCATCAGAGAAAGGCTCTGTGTCTGTGGCCATCACCTGGGCACGCTGGGACTGACACTCTTCTGAGCTGCTCAAATCTGAACTTCACACGACTGTGGGCGCCAATTGTAGGTGAACTTACAGTACAAATAAAGAACCTTACCCACAGGAAGCCACGCGCCGCAGGGGATGGACCGGGTTGACCTTCGTGATTGAGGTCAGGCTCAGGATTATAAGCAGCACACTCGATCTAAAAACACCAAATCACAGCAAGCACTCGTCAGGGGGACTGCAGCTTGTGATTACATCTTAACACCACCACAGACTCAGGGTCCTGCCTCTCAGAGCAGAACAGCAGGGGCAGGCGACTGAGGCCCAGCCCTCCCTCCTCACCCAGGGAGACTGGGTGTCCCAGCCTCTCCCCTGCAGACAGCCCAGCGCAGCCTCCATGCTTGACATCTGCTCAGGCACTTGTGATACTGACGCAATGTCACCACCACACGTCCTGGTCGACACATGAAGTGTCCCCCAAGGCTCACGTGAGACAGTGCAGGAACGTTCAAAAGTGAAGGAGGGAAGCCTGACCCTACTGGGCACTAATCCCCTGACAGGGGACAGCTGGGTGGCAGCTGCAGGCAGGTGGGCAGTAGCAGGTGGGTCCTTGGGGACAGAGCTCTCTGCTCCCTGCAGCCGTGTCCGGAGCTGCTTTCGTTGGACACACCCTCCTGCCATGGGCTCTGCCTCAGCTGACCACAGCCTGGACCCATGAGACCTCCTCTAGGCCTCTGGGCACGGCGGTCAGGGGCTGACAGCACACCGCGTGAATGCTTTTTCTGTTCTACTCTTCAGGGAACAAAGACAAGGAGATAGATCTGTCCACAGGGTGCAGATGCAGCTTTGTTCCGAAACATATTCCCGGCTGGTCAGCAGGACCCCTGCTGAGGGAGCCCAGCAGACCCAGGCCACTGTCAGCCCTGTGCTCACATTTTAGAAGTGAACCCCTGAGCGCTCAGGCCAAGCGTGGCCGGGGACCAGCCAGGGGAAAGGGAATGGCAGGTCAGGAGTCCCCAGCGCTCAGGAACACGGCCTGCCCGAGCCAAGGAAGTGGAACCTGACGAGTGCTCGCGGGCTTCACTGGGCACCAGGCCGGCCTGGCACCAGCAGTGTGCCGTCCTGTGCCGTCCAGAGGCCCTCCCACTCCAGGGACCCGCAGGGCCACACTGGGGACAAGAGCCAAGACTCGACCTCGGCCTCAGGCCTGTCGTCTCAGACGTCTCTGACTCACCCTCGGGAGAAGCAGCAGCGGTGGCTGGCCCAGAGGACCGCCCCACCACACCCTCACAGCCATCCCAGGTACGCCCGCAGGAGAGGCAGCCAAACCAGCGCGTGTACCTTGAACTCTGGCTGCCTGGCCACCGTCACTGGCATGTGTCCCACGAGGAGAGGGTGCGTCTCCTTCTTGGTGTGACTGCCCTCATCGTCCACGCAGAACCAGCCCAGGTGGTTCTCCTCCTCTGCGTTACATTCAGAGAGTGGCGCTCAGTCCCAGGAGCTGCCACGCGACACCCCAGTTCTGCTGCTCAGGAGCCTGAGCCACCAGCATTGCTCGGGGTGGCAGCACCTCCCCTTCCTAAAGCGGGCACAGCACTCGGGGTCCCAGAGAGCGAGAGCCCCGGCCCCGCCTGCTGAATGCCCACGCGCTCTCCCTCAGGCTGCCTCCTTCACCCTTCATGTTCAAAGTCCCCTGGAGGGCCGCCGTCACACACCAGGGATGTGGTGGGGCTGACACTGCGGGTGAAGGAGGACGGTACCAGGAAGACACGTTTGCAGCTAAGGTCCGTCCTGGCTTTGAAGAACCATCTCAAAGATCTTCACGTCCACTCCCCCCCTCAGAGTGGCCGTCTCCCATGTGTGGTCACTCTGAGCCCAACCTGGCACACCGCCACCTCAGGAGAAAGGGAGCAGTGGGCCGTCTGCCCTGGGTACAGCCCCACCACGGCAGGAAGCCCCTGCCTCCTGCCCCCCAACTCCCCAGGGGATGAGTGTCCACCTGCAGACCCCAGGTGTCCCTTCTGTTTGGTTCCGTGGTGTCTCTGACAGTCTGATCTGGAGGAGCGTCTCACACACATCTACACCCCAGTGTCTGCACAGCAGGTCTGTGTGGTGAGCCACATGAGTGGCCAAGGGACAGAGGAACCAGAAAATAGTCATCAAGCCACGCAGATCCACGGCAGGCCCTCAGGATTCATGTGTCGCCACAGGGGACAGCAGGCAGGCAGAAGAGCCCGGGCGGCGCCTGCTCCTGGGAGATGCCCACACCAGGCCGGCGCTCTGACCATGGCCTCAGACACTGGGCCACCTCATGCTCAAAAGCCGAGCGCCAGGAGTCCGGTTCCAAGGGCAGCGGAGCCTCCTTCCTGCAACCCCTAAATTATCACACACACACTTAAAGATCACACGTCTGGAAACACTCCTCCAGGCCAATGGGGGACTATCACCAAGTCTCTCTTTCTGATTTTACCCTCTGAGACTGGGAGTTCGGCATAGAAAGGTCCACAGCGGACAACCAGCGGGATGCGTGGCTTTCTCAGCACACCCAGGTCAGCTTCGGTGAGCCACATCTTACCCAGGGCGAGCTTGGCCATCTGCAAGTTGTTGACCCAGGACTCTTTGATGGCAGGTGTGAAGGTGTTGAACACAGCCGTGAAGAAAGTGGGCCGCCCAGACCTGCCAGGAGCAACAGACGCACACTCTACAGAAGGCACGCCACACGCCCGTCTCCACCAGGCACCAGCCAAGAGCACCCACCCGGGGACAGAGACCCACCCCGCCCAGGAGGGCTCTCTGACGTCACTGACTTGTCCTGCTTCCCCGGGAGCTGTAGCTGAATTCTGCAGCGGTCAGCAGCTCTGATTTCTTCTTCTTTCTTCAGAATCAGTCTTTGTAAACCTGATGTCCAATCATGGGCTACGGACTGGTTTAAGTTCTACAGAGGGAACCCAGAAGCACATTTATTTTAAAAGAGTTTAAAAAACATGGAGGAGGAGGAGGAAAAGCCAAGTTGCAACACAGAACATTCAGGGAAGCCCAAAGCGCCCCACCTGAGCAGGACATTCAGAGTGGACCAGCGTGCACGGCGAGGCATCTCCAGCAGACCTGACCTTGGTGCACTGCTAGATGCACACGAGCTACACCGGAGCCCGGCCACCCAACCAAGGGAAAGGCACAACAGGCCACGCGGTGAGTCAAGCGCGCAGTCCCCGTGGCAGACCTGCAGACACCCACACCCCCGACAGAGCTCCAGTGCGCCCCACCTACCTGATAGCTCCCTTTAAGGTTTCCTATCAGCTGAGCAATCTGGCCCACGACATTCAGGTCGTGCAGCAGGTTTTGCAGATCTTGATACAGCTGTCCTGGCCCCATGTAAACTTTGTCTACAAAGCAAGCAAGAAAAAGAGGGTCGGTCGAACAGCTCGTTACTGCAGTGCTGGAAAGAAACACGGGTAAATTCTATTTATTATTTTAAGTTGGAGGTTAATCTTGAATTTTTTAAAAGTGGGCATCTTCAAGAATTTATTATTTTTTTAATCTCTTTTAAATTCTTACTTTGAAATATTTTAGACTTATAGAAGAGAATGGCACGATGAGTCCCCCCAAGTGCCCCTCGCCCACCTTCCCTGGGGTGGAAACTAGGCACACACACCACTGCCAACGGATCCCCCTGTTCAAATGTCACTGGTTTCCCAAGAGCACCATCCCCTGTCTGGGAGCCACCTCAGGCTCCTGCACCACGAGGTTGTCACGATCAAGGAGCGTGACCTGCCTCTGTGGAGGACACTGTGGGTTATTTTACAGGATGTCTCACGCTTTGGTTTGACTGGTGTTTTGTCACTTCCAATATTTTAAATCTGAACCAAATTTCTAGTATCTGGGGCCAACCCACCCCAGAGAATCCCCTGTGATACTCCCTGAAGTGAGGGAGAGGAGGAAACAGAACATTCAGGGAGGCCATGGTTCTTCTGTGCTGACTGGTAGTGGGCTGTGTGTGTCCACTCCACTTACTGAGGCTGGGTGGGCTGCAGTGCTACTCCGACTCTGTGGCACTGAGTCCCACAGCAGCCTGTGGGCAGAGCAGGCCCCGTTCCCCAGGCCAGCTGAAACTGCCCAAGGCCACAAATGTACAACAGGAAGGACTGGAACTCAGAACAACATTCAAGGCCCATGCGTAGACCAAGGGGTGGTGACATCAGTCTTCTCTACGTCCACGTAAATCGACTGTGTTAGCTCACACTGCTACCCAGGGAAGGAGCCAGACTCAAATCCAGGCAGAAGGGATTCGTGTGGCTGAGAGGGGAGCGGTGCCTTGGTGCCTGGGTCCCCAGGGTGCTGCCTGGACATAGTCCTATGCAAAAGGACACAGCTGGGTTGGAGGCTTTACCATGGACGCCTTGACATTTGTAATGGTTTCCAAAAAGGGTCCCGATGTTCAACCAGCCTGGGCGCCTGCACATGCTCCCCATCCTACAGCACGTCAGATTCACAGTGTACGTGAGGGCCAATGAGATCTACGGACGTCCACCATAAACATTTCGTATGCCCCTGGACATGGCTCCCCGTCCTACAGCACGTCAATGCACACAGTGTGTACGTGAGGGCCAACGAGATGGGTTCATGTCCACCATACACACTTCATAGTCACCTGTATCTAACTGCATCACTGCTTACATGGGAGGAGGCTGCAGTCCTCACTTTGTGGGCACTTAGGTTAAGGGTGTGACTACAGGGGTTTATCCACAGGGTAGGCCTGGTTTTCAAGATGAAATCTCATGTTAGTTGCCTCTAAAGTATTATGAAGCTTCATAAAAAAGGGGACAAATCTATCCCTGTGACTTTATACAAGTACTAACTTTTTAACAATCTTCCCTTACAGAATGCTTATAAATATTTTATATTATCACATATATTTCCTTTCATTTATGAACTTTTGATAAACTCTATGAACATAACTACAATACATTGATAAAGTAAATTAATAAAGCTACATTAACTTTATTAACTTTCTAACATCTACTTTATGTTACCTTTACAATTATCACTCAATAAAACTGACCCTTTTACATGTGGTGTCCAGCTCTAGGAGCGTTAGCACATGTGCGGCTGTGTGTGGCACCCTGGGTCAGCCCAGGGAACAGCTCCACCAGGAGCCGCCGCCCACGGGCCCGTTCCAAGGCCACGTGTTGTTTGACGTTTCCCGCCTCGTCTTCTGCCCCACCCAGTGCACTTACACTGGCACAGTATTTAGTTGGTGCACCCTGGGTTCTGGAGGACAGCGTCTCCCACCCCCTGGGCAGGAAGGCACAGGCAGACCTCACCCTGCGCCCATCTGCACAGGGCTCCGTGCTGCATGGCTACCTGCTCTCACCCCTCCTGCTCCGCCTCCGAGCGTGAGGTCAGCTAGAAGGGAAGCGTCTTCTTGGCAACTGTGTCTGGGGGGCGGTCAGGAGTCCAGCATTTGTGCTGGATTTGCAGACGTTTCCTTCTCCCACCAAACGTCTCTGTGAGAAGCCACATGTTGGAAGGGAACACATGTCAGGACCAGACTCGCTCAGCGCAGGCCAGGGGCCGGCCACTCTCTCCACAGCGAGGCTCAGGCATCCATGCTCAGAACTTGCTGGAACCAACCCTCTGGCCCTGGTCTGTTTCCTCTCTGTAAAGAGGGACGAAACCACTTTTCCTGTCTGCTTCCTAGCACTGCTCTGAGGATCAAATGGACAGTGACTGTGAATCATTGTTTAACTAACACATACATCATGAATATCGTGCAAATGAGTGCCACCATGGCAGCAGGTGGGCACCCTCCCAGCAGGGGCAGGACGGCAGGGCGGGACACGGTGCAGAGGCTGTCCAAAGGTTACTTCAGTCCAGGAGAGAGCTGTTCTATTTTATGGTCAAAATTTACTGACCAATAAAAACCTGAAACTCAAGATTTTGTTAGAGCCGAAGTCCAGCACCTAGTAGTGGATTTCAAGTACTTTAAATTCTGTGAGCAGGTCTCTGGGCTTTCCTTTTCTCACGGGCACTGCCTGTTTCCATGGAAACCCCTGCAACAGCTGGGAAATTCTGGATGTGGGCTGAATGGACCCCTGTGTGAAAGGAAGCAGGGGCTATCGGGCCGTGGCAGCGCCAACACCCGCGGGACCCTCTGCAGGCGGCTTCCTCGGCCTCCTGGAGGCTCGCCAGCCTGGGACCACAGGGCCCGCGGCCAGGCTGGAGCCAGTCCACTCCCAGGCAGGGGTGGGAAGAGCACTCCTGAGCAGGATGGAGGAGCCGCCTTCCCAGCGGAGGCGGAGTGCAGGACCAGGTGCACAGGGGAGCCGCTGCTGCAGCCACCCCTCCCAGGCACTGCCCAGCAGGACAGGCACTGCTTCCCAGACCCCCAAGTACGTCGCCCCTTCCAGGACTTGGCCCCTCCTGAGTTCCACAGTCACTGTCCCTGGCACCAGCAGCGTCCGCTCCCCGGCCCCTGTCCTCCCCTACCCTCCCCAGCGCCCGCCCCTCCTGCCTGCTCCCAGGATGGCTTCCTCAGAGAGCAAGGACACGGTGCTCACCAAGGAAACACTAGCCAGGACCTGCCCTGTGGGAAGGAGCACCCCGAGGTACAAAGTGCACACCTGCTGGTGCCAGGTGTGGCTGTGAGACGCAGGGAGGGGCTGGCAGAACAGCACCGAGGGAGGAGACGGTGCTGTGAGGCCTGTCCTGTCCAGCCTCTCCTCCCAATGCCCTGGAGCAGGACAGGCAGGAGGCAGAACGGCGACTCCCAGCGGGGAACAGTCCCTGGAGACATCCTGTCTGGAAGCCACCCCTGCTCCCACAGGCAGGGCAGGAAAAGCGGTCCCAGAAGCCTGAGAGCAAAGCCAGGGGACATTCCGAGATGACTTTCCCACAGTGGCCGAGGCTCAGTCTTCTAACGTGAACATCCACTTTCTAGGTCATCCAGGCCAGCCAGATGCCTGCTGACGGGAGGACGTGCTTCCAGGGCCACAGGACCACCAGGAGTCCCTGCTGGGGCAGAGGTGCCCTGTGTGAGCAGGGGTGGAGCATAAGGGCCACCCAGGGAACTGCCCAAGTCACAGGAGCGTCATGGAGGTCACTCACACCATGGGACCTCCCTGAGGCTGTCATGGTTTGGATGTGAGGTGCCCCCAAAGCTCGCAGGTGAGGCAATGCAAGACGGTTCACAGGAGAAAGCACCGGGCTGTGAGAGCCCCACCCAGTCAGGGATTCGGTCCCTGGTGGGACTAGCTGGTGACGGAGGAGGTGTGGTGTGGCTGTGGGTGGAGAGTTCGTGCCCGTGAGTGGAGTCTGCTTCCTGACCATCATGGGAGCTGCCCTCCACCACACTCTTCCTCCACAGTCTTCAGCCTCTTTTGAGCCCCGTGGAATGGAGTCTGCTGTCTACGGATTGACACCTCTGAAACCGTGAATCCCTCAATAAACTTTTCCTCCCCTGAAACTGTCACGGCCGATCTTTTAGGCACACAGCGAAACAGCTGACTAAAACAGGGGAATGGTCGACAGTGAGGGATCCTCCCTGCAGCCACACACCCCGCTACGGAGGACGACCGCCCGCTGACACCGGCTTCCTGACCACACCCGCGTGAGGTCCAGTTGTTCACGGGACACGGAAAGCCCCCACTGAGGCTGGCCCCTCCTCACCGAGGTCAGGTCCCCTCCCTAAGACTCCCTCAAAGCACACGGCTCCTGGGAAGAGGAGCCCGGCTCAGGCCCCGTCTCTCCTCACAGGTGCAGCCCGCAGGGTGACTGGGCTGGGCGACTGCACGCCCCGACACAGGGCCCGCAAGGCCTGCAGCGGCCTGCCCAGGTTTCCATCAAGCCCAGCCTCAGCCACCCGTCCCTGGTGAGGACAGTCACAGGTCTCTAGTGGCAGCAGAGCAAGGCACACTGCTGTGCGGGGCAGGCGCCGCGGTCAGACGCTGGAGTCTCTGCAGTTAGGCAAGGGGGGAAACCAAGGCCCCCCAGCCCTGGGCGGTCTCGGGAGAACGGCCTGGGTCCCCACACACTGAGCCCCTTCCCTCCTGCCGTGGAAGGGCCAGGGCCGAGTTTCGTGATGAAGCCCCTCCAGCTGCGCCCTGCCTCCGCCCTGCTGGTGCATGTCCTGTCCAGGGCGTGTGCTCCTCTGGTGGGCTCTCGGGTTTATCCCCTCCACGCGCTGCGCCCCGACAGGTTTCTGTATCTCCTGGAAGTTTTCAGGGTCTCTCCGGTGGCACCTCCCAAGGCAGCACAAGTCCACCTCTTCCAGCCTGGGGTTAGTGACCCCAATCTCCCGGTCCCCCACAGATCCCATCACACTGCAGAAGTGGTTCCACGCCTAGTCTTTTAAGAAACCTCCATACGGATTTCCATACGATCTCAGCTGCTGAGAGCCATAGCCAAGTAGGAATGACGCATGGCATTTTGGTTTGAAAGGTGACCCTGCTCCGGGATTAGGGCGGCTCCTGCGCCCCTCCTTTGGAGTTCCCGTGGAGTTCTGGGGGGGGGGGTGTTTTGAGGTGGAGGGAGTGGATTTCCCCAGAACATGCGTGTAGAGTGCGGTGAGAGTTCGGGAATAAAGACCTGCTGTTTGCATCTACAAGTTTTTGTGCCCGGCCAGACTGTGGCACTCAGCAATAGTGCAAAAGTGTTCCTTTTCATCCACGTCCTCTCCAGCCTGACCACTGTCTGTGTCTAGATGACTCTGTTCTGACTGCGAGGGAGGAAATCTCTGGGTGGCTCTGATTTGCATTTCCCTAATTCCTAATGATGCTGAACATTTTTTCATGTATTTGTTGGCCTTTTGTATTTCTTCTTTTAAGAAGTGTCTGTTTAGTTCATTTGCCTGTTTACTAATTGAGTTATTTGGGTTTTTTGATGTTAGATTTTTGAGTTCTTTATATATTCTGGCTATTAATCTTCTGTTGGAAAAGTAGGTAGCAGAAATTCTCCCCCATTCTGTGGTTCTCTCTTCACATTCCTAACTGTTTCCTTGCTCTTCAGAAGCATTTTTTTTTTTCAGAATACTGATTTACTTTGGTAGCAAATGGTTGTTCTTTGAAGACTAATGAAGGTAGACAAGACCCATTAAGGTGTGTGGGCTATTTCAAATACTCGATACTTCACATAAAAATTAAAAAAGAAATAAAAACATTTTTAAGAGCTAAGCGTTTGTATCCACTGATAGCAATGCCAATACCTAGTATATGATGACTTGAAACAAAACAAATGCCCATAAGGAAAAAAAGCTGTATTTTAATTTTATCTAAATTTATTATCAGTCAATAGTCCAGTAACATTTTCCTCTCAGTACAATACTCCCTTCTCTCTATAAGGCTGTTCCTGGGAGCCAGACAGTTTAGGTAATGAGGGAGTTAAGTTAGGAGAGTAACTGCTTGCAGTTTTAAAAAGATAGTAACTTTTGTTTCCCTCTTAATGTGCTAATAGTTGTGCCTAAAAAAAATATGCAATTCTTAAAAAGGTACCATTTCTGATTTCTTTATTATCTGTAACCTTTGGAAACTAATCACATGAAACTACAAAATTAGCAAATGTCTTGAAATCTGTATATAAAACATAAATTACTTCTAATTTCAAACTCTCATTTATGAGTGTACCACTCAATCTTAAGAAACAAAACAAAACAAAAACAAAAACGAAAAAGGAAAAAAAGCGGCTCCAAAGATAGTCTTATACCATTCTTTAAAAAAGGAAACTGTTCCTTTTAACTTTACACCCACCCCATACCCCAATTTCAAAACACATCATTTAATTGTCTTGGTCATGAACATTTCCAAGATGAGATTTTATATTTCGTTCCCACAGCTTCTGGTTATCAGAAAACCCATGCTTTCCTTTATTGAAAGAGTTTGGTCCAGCTGAGGTTGGTGTATCCCTTCCAATATTCTTCATCCTCATCTTTGCTTCTGGAGGCATTTCCTCTGGTTCACTATCTTCATCTTCATGAAAAGCTGCTGCTACTGAAAGGGTTTTTGGAGCAAGAGCTGGAACAGTTTCTTCAGGCTTACCTGATCCAAGTTTGATGGATACGGCTGATGCTTTCTTAGTTGTCTGACTACCTATGGCAAATCCAAACTCGGAGATCTTTGTAGGCTTTGTTGAGAGGTCTGCAGCTTCTTCTTCAGCTGATCGCTTCTCAGCGCTGCGACTGGAACGTTCCCCTCCATTACTGGAAGACACAGTCTTAGTTTTCACAGGTTTTTCTGCTTCTTCTTCAGGTCCTCCGGCGGCTCCAACTCGCTGCGGCTTTTCAGGCTTCTCCTCTCCCGCCTTCCCGTCCGCCTCTTGAGAAGCATTTTAATTTGATGGTTAGTTTAATTATTAACTCTTGGTATCATTACCTGAGCTTAGGGTCCTATTTGGAAAGCCAGTGCATTGTCCTCTAGGAGTCACACAGTTTCTGGTCTAATTCTGAGGTCTTTGGTCCGCTGTGACTGTGGTACAGGGTGAGAGGGACCTACTCCCTCTTCTACACATGGATGACAGTTGTCCTGGCACCGTTTGTTAGAGAGCCGTCTTTTCTCCAGGGTGTGTGTTTGGCAGCTTTGTCAAGGACCAGATGTGTGGGTCTGTCTGTCTTCTATTTTGTGCTGTTGGTCCAGGGGTCTGTTTTTACACCTGACCATGCAGTTTTGTGACTATGATTTTCTACTATGATCTAAGGTCAGAAACTGTGAGCCCTCCAGCATTCTTTTTTGGCTTAGAATGGCTTTGGCTATTCTGGGTCTTTTATTCCTCTCCACGAACTTGAGAGCTGTCTTTCCTAGTTCTGTGGAGAACTAGAAAATGTCACTGGTATGTGCATGGGTTTGCACTGAGTCTGCCTATGACTTGGTGGGAGGCCATTTTAACAACATTGACCCTGCCTGTCCAGGAACACGAATCCGCTCTAGCCGTCTTGTGGTGGAGCTTTGGGATCTCTTAAGTGTATGACCTTATCTTCTCAAACAGTGATACGGCGCCTTCCTCCTCTCCCACTCTTCATCCCTTTTCCTCTCTTGCCTCCTCTCTGGTGGAATTTCTAGCACTCCACTAAACAGCCGTGGTGAGAGTGGACACCTCGTCTTGTTCCAGGCTAGAAAGGAAGTGCTCTCCGTTTTCCCATTCACTACGAGGCTGGCTTTGGGTCTTCACACATCACCTTCATGATGCTGAGGCAGGTTCCTCTGTCCTAGTCTCTTCAGTGTTGTTTGTTTTTTTAATCGTGAACGTGTGCTGAATTTTGACAAAGGCCACATATAGTGAAATGACTAAGTAATCTTCGCCCTTAATTCTACTATGCTGCACTCTCATTTTTAAGGCTTATATAACTAACCACAGAATGATAGGAAAGTCACAAAACGAAATGATCAATATTTGCACAGGCAAATGAGTGTTCCCCTTAAAATATGCTTAAAGTGCACTATTCTTCTTCTTCTTCCACCATTTCAGGGCCATCTGGCTCGGAAGGTTTAAAGACTGGTGGACGGTCTCCACAGCCATGCTCCAGGAACCTGGCTTGGTGGAGAGGCCCCAGAGGAGCAAGGTTAGCATTCCTCTTCCCGCACAGGACTCCCACTTAGCACCTGGTAAGCTGGGAGTGTTCTGTCACCTATTTATTGAAAATGAACCGGGCAGTGAAGATCCGCCTGAAGAGAACCCACCAGAGTCACGTTGCTCCTGGCAACAGGGAAAGCATCTCCTCAGAGCTCCGCCTCCCACATGGGAAGTGATGGGCACCTCCATGGAACTGCACCCTGGTTGGCTCAGAGTCTTTCTCTCCCCCATCACAGCCGCAATCCAGGAAGCAAGTGAGACCTCGTGAATCACCCAGAAAAAAATGCACCACAGTTTACAAAATAACTTCTGGAATTCAGGAAGCTTGAACCCATCCATGGGTTTCTGGAGGATCAGGGTGAGCAGCTTCAAGCCCGGGGCTAGGAGCAGAGTCCAAGGACTCAGGAGACCCGAGGCAGTCTTCCTGGGGCTGGAGGGCTGGAGCAGCTCCCGGCTGGTTCTGGGCTCCCACGGTCCTGCCCCCAGCGCGGTTGCTAGGCAGGGAGACCTACGCTCTGTCTGCAACACCAAACAACCAAGGCCTTCCCAAGCAGAATGTCCCAGAACAGAGGCATTCAAACAGGAGGACTGTCACATGAACGTGCAGTGAGAACAAGAACTCCTAACTGGCCTCTCTAGATGATTCAGAACGAGACAGTAAGGGACCAGAAGGGGAGAACAGAGCATGGACTGGAGCTGCCACCCCCAAAGGAGCAAGACCCAGGAAAGGGCTGAAGTCCTTGTGCAGACAGAGGGGGCCGACTCCAGGGCTGCAGCTGGGCATGATGCGTCCATGTTACAGCTCTGACACCCAGGACCCCTCGCCTCCTGACCAGCCGCAGTCCCCCCCCATTCTGTGTGAATCTGGACAGACCAGGATCCCAGCACTCGCTCTGCCGGCAAACGTGTTGGCCCCCGACTGCATCCCCAGACGTAGGGCGGCAGGACACTCTGAGGTCTGAAGAAGCCCCACAGGGTCGTGAGCTGAGTCCCACCTCACAGGCCACACAGAAGCAACAAATTTCAACTGATTTGTTAAGACTTTTAAAATTTGGCCAAAAGGGGCATGAAGAGTTCCTAACATCATTCCCACAGGGAAACTGGTTGCTAAGCAGTGAGACCTACGCAAGACCAAGACCACAGGGGCACGCACGCACCGTCAGGGTGCTGCCAGCAGGTGGGCAGGAAAGGGGGCCTGCGCCCCGCTGGAGGGAAGGTGGAGCCAGGGTCCCCCGCCAGACACACACCTGAGGAGAAGGAACGGCATCTTGAGGAGACGCCCAACTCCCGAGTCCACGGCACAGCATCACGACAGCCAGGACGTGGACGACCCAGGAGTCCACTGACAGGATAACAGGCAAAGGAAAAGTGCCATTTATGCGGCATGCTGCTAAGTCCCAAAGAAGAAGGGACATGCTGCCCATGAGGAAGTGGAGAGACTCGGAGGGACCCGTGTGAGTGAAGCACCACACGCAGCAAGAGGAACCCGGCCCTCTCCCACGTGAACGTCGGGAATCGTCCAGCTCAGCCTCACCAGGAGAGCTTCCAGGGCTGAGGGACCCGGGAGGGACTTCTTCATGACGACATGGAGGGCTCCCGATGGCTCACGCCACATCCAGGGGGCACATTGAGGGCTCTACCATGTCCCGGGGGGACAGCGAGGGCTCCACCACATCCCAGGGGGACAGCGAGGGCTCCACCACGTCCCGGGGGGACAGCGAGGGCTCCACCACGTCCCGGGGGGACAGCGAGGGCTCCACCACATCCTGGGGGACAGGAGGGCTCCACCACATCCCAGGGGGACAGCGAGGGCTACCCCACACTCTACTCACACCGTGCTTGGTGGAAGGAAGGAAGACTCACGGCGACTCTGGGAATCAAATGCAAGACGGACACTTCCCAGGCCCTTCCTCCCCAGGGTTTAGAAAGACTGACTGACCAGCTGCTTTGTGCCCTTAACCCTGGTGACCTCCCCTGTTCCGAGGTCAGCACAAGTCATACCACAAAGGTGAGGAAGGAAACGGAAGGTGGGGCCGGACTGCGCTGTCTCGGATCACAGTCAGCTTGAGCTATTCAAACACAATGAGGCAAGCTCAGTTACAAACACGGGTTTTTGGCGTTTATTTTTTGGTAACCAGGACTAAACCCAAGGGCACTTAACCACCGAGCCATATCCCCTGCACTTTTCATTTTTATTTTGAGATAGGGTCTCACAAAGTTGCTTAGGGCCTCGCTTAGTTGCTGAAGCTGGCCTTGAACCTGTGATCCTCCTGCCTCAGCCTCCCAAGTCACTGGGATAACAGGCATGTACCACTGTGCCAGGCACAAACGCATTCTAAAATGTTCACAAAACAGACATGAATAACTTCGATATTTCTAAATGATTTTAAAGACTGTTGTACGGTATTTAATCTGCCCTTGAATAAATGTTAATGAGTCATGCCAATCTGAAAAAGGACCCCCCACTCTCTTCCTCCCTGGTCCCCCTTCCTCTGCTCACCACCCCTCTGTGTGCATGTCACCTGAGAGCCAGCACCTCAGGGGACTTGCAACTCTAGTAACTCTCCCAGAGCAGCCTACTAGGCAGATGACCGGCAGACGACACGAGGGGACAGCCAACCAGGCCTGGAGCCATCACTCCCACTCCCATCAACGTGCGGCCTCGCAGTGGCTCTCGGGCTCTGGAACCTGTGCACAGGGACTGAACCTGAGAGGTTAAGGCTCAGCTGACATCTCAGGGGTCTTCGCAAAGTTCTCATGCTCGGTGTTCTAATGGTTCCTCAGTCCGGGGGCAGAGGCCAACGAGTGAATAAACCTAGCCTTGCTTTAACTTTTAAAAGGAGGAAGAGGAAAGAATGACTTTGGAACTCGGGTCAAAATCCACAGCATGAACGACGTTTAGTAAGAACAACCCGACTAGGCATGATGCCGGACGTTTCCACAGCCTCTAGTCATGGCGCCATAGTTCACTTGGACAAGTTCACAGACAAGCACTAACGTCACAGAGAGACCCAGGCAGAAGAATTAAGATGCTGGCCACAGCCGGAGTGTGCACAGCGGCCACAGGAGCAGGTCTGACCTGAGACTTCCTGCTGCCTGCAATTCGTGCCCATCAGGAGATGAAGCCCCCGTGCTCACGTGCTTCATGGAAGGGCGGCCTGAGTCCCAGCTGGGGTGGCCAAGTGCACCTCCAGGTGGCCATGGCCCGCACTGCAGGAGGCTGGACTACAGGTGAGACAAGCTCAGGGGCACGGCAGAAGCCTTCTGGACAGCTGTCCCACCAGACCCACCACTGAACCCTCCGGTGAGGCACGGCGGACCCCAACCTGCAAGAACAGCAATGGTGTCACTCACGTGGCTTCGCATTAGGGACCACGGCCAGGCTCTCGGGCGCGTGTGTGGTGGGGCACCTGCCTTGGTGCCCTGTGCTGGGGCCATACTCGATCACATCTGTGTGCCCTAGAGGCACACTCCACTTCAGCAGGTACCTCTGGCTGGCTGTGGGGCGACTCTCATGGGAGGTGCTGGAAGACAAGAAGGCTTGCCTCAGGAGTGCTGTGCCCGGGGTTATCCTCAGACCTTTCACACCCCGGCACCCGCTTCCCAGGAAGCCTAAGGGCAGAGCAGGAGGCCTGGAGACGAGGCGCTCAAGACCTCGAGAGAGATCCCTGGGAGAACAGTCAAGCAGACCCGGCTCCTAGAGGTTCACAGTAACCACGTCCCTGCACTCCCCGACTCCAGCGGTTAGGCGCACAGGGAAACTTAGGAAAAGATGTGACCCCACAATCCTACTCCTATCACAGCACCGGACAGACGCAGAGAAGCATGTAAGGTAGGGGGCCAGGCAAGACCCACAGGTGGGCAGCAGGAGCAGCCAAACAGCAAGGCTATGCCACTGGCATAAATCAAATGAAAGGATCTTTACTGCAGCAGAGAGATCACCAGAATCAGAATTAGGAGAAGACCCTGAGGAGAAACAGCAAGACGGTGAGGACGGCCTGGAGCAGGGGTGAGGACGGTGAGGACCTGGGGGAAGAGGGGAAAGGATGTTGGTGAGGACCCGGGAGCAGGAGTCAGGGTGATGGTGGGGACCCAGGGAGCAGGAGTCAGGGTGATGGTGGGGACCCGGGGAGCAGGAGTAAGGATGTTGGTGAGGACCCCGGGGAGCAGGAGTCAGGGTGATGGTGGGGACCCGGGAGCAGGAGTCAGGGTGATGGTGGGGACCCGGGGAGCAGGAGCCAGGGTGATGGTGGGGACCCAGGGAGCAGGAGTCAGGGTGATGGTGGGGACCCGGGGAGCAGGAGTAAGGATGTTGGTGAGGACCCCGGGGAGCAGGAGCCAGGGTGATGGTGGGGACCCGGGGAGCAGGAGCCAGGGTGATGGTGGGGACCCGGGGAGCAGGAGCCAGGGTGATGGTGGGGACCCGGGGAGCAGGAGCCAGGGTGATGGTGGGGACCCGGGGAGCAGGAGCCAGGGTGATGGTGGGGACCCGGGGAGCAGGAGCCAGGGTGATGGTGGGGACCCGGGGAGCAGGAGCCAGGGTGATGGTGGGGACCCGGGGAGCAGGAGCCAGGGTGATGGTGGGGACCCGGGGAGCAGGAGCCAGGGTGATGGTGGGGACCCGGGGAGCAGGAGCCAGGGTGATGGTGGGGACCCGGGGAGCAGGAGCCAGGGTGATGGTGGGGACCCGGGGAGCAGGAGCCAGGGTGATGGTGGGGACCCGGGGAGCAGGAGCCAGGGTGATGGTGGGGACCCGGGGAGCAGGAGCCAGGGTGATGGTGGGGACCCGGGAGCAGGAGTCAGGGTGATGGTGGGGACCCGGGGAGCAGGAGTCAGGGTGATGGTGGGGACCCGGGGAGCAGGAGTCAGGGTGATGGTGGGGACCCGGGGAGCAGGAGCCAGGGTGATGGTGGGGACCCGGGGAGCAGGAGCCAGGGTGATGGTGGGGACCCGGGAGCAGGAGCCAGGGTGATGGTGGGGACCCGGGGAGCAGGAGCCAGGGTGATGGTGGGGACCCGGGGAGCAGGAGCCAGGGTGATGGTGGGGACCCGGGAGCAGGAGTCAGGGTGATGGTGGGGACCCCGGGGAGCAGGAGCCAGGGTGATGGTGGGGACCCGGGGAGCAGGAGCCAGGGTGATGGTGGGGACCCGGGGAGCAGGAGCCAGGGTGATGGTGGGGACCCGGGGAGCAGGAGCCAGGGTGATGGTGGGGACCCGGGGAGCAGGAGCCAGGGTGATGGTGGGGACCCGGGAGCAGGAGCCAGGGTGATGGTGGGGACCCGGGGAGCAGGAGCCAGGGTGATGGTGGGGACCCGGGAGCAGGAGCCAGGGTGATGGTGGGGACCCGGGGAGCAGGAGTCAGGGTGATGGTGGGGACCCGGGGAGCAGGAGTCAGGGTGATGGTGGGGACCCGGGGAGCAGGAGCAAGGGTGATGGTGGGGACCCGGGGAGCAGGAGTCAGGGTGATGGTGGGGACCCGGGGAGCAGGAGCCAGGGTGATGGTGGGGACCCGGGGAGCAGGAGTCAGGGTGATGGTGGGGACCCGGGGAGCAGGAGCAAGGGTGATGGTGGGGACCCGGGGAGCAGGAGCAAGGGTGATGGTGGGGACCCGGGGAGCAGGAGCCAGGGTGATGGTGGGGACCCGGGGAGCAGGAGCCAGGGTGATGGTGGGGACCCCGGGGAGCAGGAGTCAGGGTGATGGTGGGGACCCGGGGAGCAGGAGCCAGGGTGATGGTGGGGACCCGGGGAGCAGGAGCCAGGGTGATGGTGGGGACCCGGGGAGCAGGAGTAAAGATGTTGGTGAGGACCCGGGAGCAGGAGCCAGGGTGATGGTGGGGACCCGGGGAGCAGGAGCCAGGGTGATGGTGAGGACCCCGGGGAGCAGGAGTCAGGGTGATGGTGGGGACCCGGGGAGCAGGAGCAAGGGTGATGGTGGGGACCCGGGGAGCAGGAGCAAGGGTGATGGTGGGGACCCGGGGAGCAGCATCAAGGATGGCAGTTCCTGGACACATAGGCACCAGCCACTTTTCCAGCCAGCTCACGGGCCTCCTGACCTTGCTCCCACAGACCCTGCCAGGCGTCCGTCCATGCCCTCATCCCCCTATGCTGACAAGGAGTCTGCAGCTTCTTAGAGAGGGTGCTTTTCAAAGTCCTTAGAAGGTCACTGGGTTGGTGTACTGAGGGCCTCCCTGACCTGTGAGGTCCTTGTGTCCACCAGGGGTCCCTGCTCTTCTGGTCATGCAGCAGAGAGGGGCATCTGTGGGAGTGCTGGGGAGTGTCTCACGAGGCTCTGGGAGGAGGGGTCCTGCACGTTGTGCTACCCGACTTCCATGGTGCCAGTGCCCCAGTGGGGCCTGTCGGGCTAGAGGTACAGCACTGGCCTCCCAAATGCTGCAAGTCTAACGACCAGCTCTGGCAAGCCGAAGAAGCTGGCTCCACTCTGCCAGGTCTTGTTCTGGAAAGCCCCAGGGAGGTCTAGTTACTCTCAAACCAGGGCCTCCTGCTCTGCCTGTGTGCATCTTCTTGGATTTCCTCAACTTCTACGACAGGCCACATTGCTTAAGTGGAAGAGCCTGCCAGGCCCAGTGGTGCACACCTGTAACCCCAGCGACCCAGGAGGCTGAGGCAGGAGGATCGCGAGGTCAAAGTGAGCCTCAGCAATTTAGCGAGGCCCTAAGCAATTTAGCGAAATATAAAAAGGGCTGAGGACGTGGCTCCGTAGTTAAGCGCCCCCGAGTTCAATCCCTGGTCCAAAATAAAGAAATAAATAAAAATAAAGCGGAGAACTACCAAAGCACCCCTCCATTTCTTACACTAAGCCTGATGTGCCCAAATTGAAGGAGTCGGCCAAAGTGTATTCACAGAGAAGCAGCAGAGAAAAGAATCATCTGAGGAACAACAGAGAGCTCCGAGCACAGCGGCGGCTCCGAGGGCCTGGGTCCAGGGCCTGCTCCCCAGCACCGTCTGAGGATCGGTTCCCAGGGTGTCACCCTCGGCCAGCAGGGCCCCCTCCCTCACAGCTCAGCCTGGGCGGGCAGTGACCCCAGGGAGGCAGAGCAGGGCACCTGGTGTCAGGCAGGCGCGGCCCAGCGTGGTGGCCAGCAGCAGGCCTGCTCTTACCGGGGGCTGGCCGTGGCACACATCAGCACATCGTTGAGCATGAACAGCCGGCGCTCCTTGGTCTTGACGACTTCACCCCTGTCGTTGTAAACCGTCTCGATCACGTCGTCGGACCGGATGAGGTACCGACTTCCACTGCTGAGGAGCTGTATGTTGAAATGACACCAGTTACCACTGAGTCCACCCAGAAAATGAAAGAGGATGAGGAAAGGTCTTCCAAAGAGGGGGCTGCAGCATCAGTTCCACAGACTGTTGAGGAGCCCACGTCCTCCTGCTCACCCAGGTGTGGGGTGCGGGGCTCGAGGTGCGCCTCTCACAGACATCAGCTTCGCAGCTGCCCTCTATGGTGGGCCAAGGACGCAACCTCCCTTTACCTGTCACCGGACACGACCCCCTGAACCTGCTGCGCCCCTCACCCTCCACTCCGGAGCCTACACCCCTTGCTTGCAGCACCAACAACCTGCAGGAGCTCTTCGCCGACTCTCTCCTGAGCGCCAGGGAGCACGCTGGTGAGCCTCTGAGCTCTCACAGGATGCCATGTTCTAGTCCCCTGGGCCAGCCGATGAGTGACAGGCCCCAGAGAAGTCCACTTCCAATAGTTAGTCGACAGGGGCTCAGGGTCCTCGGCCCAGGGGGTCTACCGCCCTCTTGAGCCTGAACCTAGGCCACTGCCTGGCTATACACCGGCGGCGCAGATGCCCGCCCCCCAGCTGGCCTCTCCTGAGAGCCCAGGAAGAGCCAGGCAGGTCTCACTGACGGGCCACTCCACGGTGCAGCGCCCATGTGCCTGGCTCACTCTGCCCACATGTGTTCACACGTGTGAGAGCTGCAGGGAAGTGTGACGTCAGCTGACCACGTCAAGAACACGGCTGGCGCCTTCTCTCCTTCCTTATGAGTATCCCAACGTGAGGCGCTCGGAGAACTGAGGAAACTGCCGCTCAGACTGCATCCCTGCGAAGTTCTCAGGGTGGGACCACTGACTGTCCTCACCAAGCAGGAAGCCCCTCCCACTGAGGCAAAGTGGGCATCCTAGCAACCCTGACCACGACGTGTGATCACACAGCTCCCACCACACACCTCCCGGGGCCGGGGGCCAGGGCGGCTTAACAAAATCGGGGGAGGCACACTGCTGCAGGAAACCTGCTTGGCAGACATGAACCTGCATCTGCACGGGTCCTCACCACAGCCAGCTCGGACCCGCAGGGGGCACGAAGGCATCGCTGTCCAGAACAGAACTCAGTGAAGCCAGAGAGCTGCTCTGGCCTTCCCGGGCGCGGGCCCAGCGGGGGAGCTCCCGAGTCTAGGAACCCTTTCCCAAGAAGACTCGGAGACGGACAGAGCACCAAGGTCTGCGTGGGGCCTCACCTCCGTCCCACCCAGAGACCTGAGCCCAGGGACGGACCCCCGGCCAGTGGTGGGGGGCTGAGGTGAGGCCCGTGGTGCGGAGCAGGCGCAGTGCGGGAGGAGCGAACGTCTCTACCTGGTCCAGGTGCCTTTCGTTCACGGCTTTGGCTATCTGTCTGACCTCACAGCGCTGGTCCGCGTCCCTCTTTCTTTCGTTCAACTTCTCTGCTAAGGTTTCGAGCTCTGTCAGCGCCATCTGCAGGGGCAGCCTGTCAGGGTGTCCTTTGGGCGTGTTCTTCAGCATGTCCTGGGAGCAAGAGGTAAAAGGCAGGCGGTCAGCACACACATGCTTCCAGCTGCTGTGCTCGAAGGCACCACTCAGCGGGATGCGGGGCGACCGTGTGGCCTCGGCTGGGAGAGGGCTGCAAGCAGAGGGAGCCTCTGGGCAGCTCCTTTCACAACAGCAAATGGTGTGACGAGTGCGAAACAGAGCGCTCTGCCGGCATCCCAGGGGCGTGGGAGACTGAGGCAGGAGGATCGCAAGTTTGAGGCCAGCATCTGCAACTTAGCAAGGCCCTAAGCAACTCAGCAAGGCCCTGTCTCTAAGTAAAATATAAAAAGGTTGTCTGAGAAACGGTCTCTAGAATGTGACCAAGCGGTTGGTGCCTTTCTCATCTAGAGCCTGGCACACACACCCATGCACAGATGCGTCCTCGACAACCCTTTCCCCTGGGTTTCCCAGCAGTGCTGGGTGTGCAGCGGTGCCGTGCGGTGCCCAGCAGGGCCAAGTGCCCAGCGCCTCCCAAACCTGCTCTGGGCACGCACAGGCAGACCTGGCAGGCCTGCTGTGCCTCTCCCCCAACAGCACCGCCTGCTCCCACCCGTGCCCCACCCTGGTCACTCCCACAATATCTCAAGTTCGCACTGCGGTCACATCTGTCTGTGGTCAGTGATTTCAATGTCACTATTGTCATTGTTCTGGGGCGCCACGTACTGTGTCCACAGAAAATGGTGATCTAACAGCATCCATTCTGAGGGCTCCCCAGCTCTCCCCGCTCTGTGGCCTCCCACCTCCTGGCACAGACTCAATGAGACCCACAATAACCCTGCGGGGGCCAAGTGTTCGAGGGAAAGGAAGCACCCGCATCTCCCCTGTGACCAAAGGCACGACTGAGCCCAGAGAGGAAGGCAGTCGGAGCAGACGGCGGGGTCTGAACCTCCTGCACCACAGCCACACTGAGGACGTGACGGAGGTTCCCGCAGGACACAGAGGCGCGGCTCCCGTGAACACAGGGCGGTGAGGGGGCTGTCACCCTTGGGGCTACAGGTGACTGTGTCCTGCCATTCCCCATGAAAAGTGCCTGAGAGCACCATCAGGAGACACTTAGCCACCCTCCAGGTGAGGCCCATCTGCTGGCAGGTGCCAAGGCCCTGCGACTGCCTGCAGAGCACAGCAAATCTCTTGCAGGGATCCCACCTGCCCTGCCCAACCTGCTACCAAATGGCACACAGAGGCTGCCTCAGTGCACGATGTGAGAGTGGGCTGGCCGGAGCCACAGGACGGAGGCCGGTTCTCCTTACCTGGAGCAGGAGGATGAACTGCGGGAACCTCTGGATGGGCTTCATCATCAGGCTGTAGAGTGTGACCCTGTCTGGACTGCTCTCCTGGCTCTGCTGTGGGGAGAGCACGGCTCACTCACCGAGGCCAGTCACCTGCTGGGCTGTGAGCCCATCACACAGACGGGGTGCCCTGACAGGTATCCAGACCTGCAGGCGGCCCTTACTCCAGGAGGAAAACATCCATCAATCTGTGGGAAACGCTGCATGCCCTCTTCTGGGGAGAGCCTGGGGCCACTGCTTTCCCAGAAGGGCCATGTTTACCATCTTAGATGCCCTGGGTTCAGTCCTGGCCAGTCTGGCACCAGGAGAGGACGGCCGCCTCTTCTGCTGCTTGGAGCAGAGAAAGGTCCTGGTGCCCAAGGGTCACCTTGGCCCACTTCTCTGTGCCTCGCAGGAGACATCAACTGGGTTGGACCACTGACCAGCTGAGGCTGTGGGCAGTCCTGACTTGGGGCTGCACCTGGTGTCGTCAGCTCTCCCAGCATGGGCAGCCACACACTGCCCTAGAGCACTGTTAGCTGTGCCACCCCAAGATGCAGGACAGCCAGCACACCCATCAGTGGTGCTGCGTGGCCTCCACACCACAGCCGACACCTCAGAGGCTGCAACAACGTCCTCAGAGGAAGTGAGATGGCTACTCGTCACGCTTCTTTCCCCCAAGAGAAAGACACGGACAGCCTCAGGACTCGGCACTGCAGCCCGCCACCTGGGCAACTGCGACAGGCCAGCAGCCGCAGGGTCCACTCTGGCGATAAGACAGGCGGGGACACTCGGCTTAGAGGACAGTGCTGTGCACACACCCTGGCCGTAGCCTCCTGCGTGGCTAGCTGACCTCACTCCAGTGCCTGCTGGGGAGCCACTGTCCACCATGCAAATCCAGAGTCAGCAGGGCCCTGCGCTTGCTCCAGCAGGCGCCAGAAGGCACAGGACCCCCACCCCACCACGTGGGGTCTGCCTTCCCAGGGCTCTGCTTGCCACCCTGACTCAGAGGGGCATCTCCAACCCAGAATCTTGCCTAGGCTTCCGTCACCCCAGGAAGGTGGCCAAGGCAGCTGTGGGAGCTGACCTTCATTGTCTGTCCACCCGTATGCTTTCAAGGATGGACAAGAGTTACTTTCAAAAGCTACCTTTGAGGCCCAAAACCACACCTAAGGTTCTGTGGGTACAGCCACTTCTGTTACAACTCCAGGCCTGCGGGGCGGGGTCTGCAAAGGCCACCGTGAGTGCTTCCACGTGAACTCGCCTTCCAAGGGCACCCAAACCCCGGGGCCACGTGCTCACCTTCAGGAATTCCAGAAAAGCAGGCTTCGCGGCACAGGTCTTCTTCAGCATGGCCACGGCTGTGCTGAAGTTGTTCACATACTCGCTGTAGGCATCCAGCACCATGGACTTGGAGAACTGCGGCAAGGGGGAGGGCGACACATGGCGTCCAAGCACTGCCCGCCAGCCCACAGTGGCCCTCCAGGCGTGCCAGGGTCCTGCGGCCTTCCCTCTGCCCACTGTGGAGCTCCCTGAGGCTGGCTGGCCTCACCTCCCCCACCCAAGGCCTCTCAGTGACCTTATTCTAAACTGTGTTGATGTGGGTTTCAACTGTGACATCCCTCCCGCCCACAGACGGCCCTCTCTGCTTCCTGCCTAGCTGCCCTTGCTGGACTCAACCTGCACTAGAGAGCAAGGATCACTAGGTGGTGGTCCCAGCTCTCTGAGACACAGGCGTCCACCTTCCCCAGGAACACAGGGCAGGACAACAACGCTTCTCCGGCTCGGGTCCCCTACCCTGTGTGTTCATTTTCCTAAAGACACACAGGTTTCAAGAAGCAGGTACAGTTGCCCCTGGCATCAATTCCAGAGACTTGAAAATCATTCCATGTTCTTCCCTGAGGATCTGTGTGTCCTCAGAAAGTCAGCACCCCAACCCCGGTAGGGACCAGGGTGACTGCTACTGAGAGAGGCAGGCTTCCACCTAAATGGCAGCTTACAAAAGGCCCCCACCTTAAAACAGGTTTCCAGGGTAAATCTGAAATAAATACAGAACCCAGGCAGAAAACGTAAAGTAAGCATCCAGTATTCTTCTGTCTGCCATAGGATCTGTGAAGGACATCGCGCGGATCTTTTGGTAAGAACTTGGTTTCCACATTATCTTCAAAACATCCTACCAAGAAAACCTGCCTTTCGCCATGAGAATAGCATTCATTTAATAAGCACTTGAAAACTCCAAGCTTACACCCACTGGTACCATCATTTTCTTAAAGGATTACAGAAACCCCTTTGTTCTCTCCACAGCTTCCAGGGAGAGGCAGGAATCCAGCCGGCACGTGACAGGGAAGACCCCCCAGGGCCGGGATAAAATGGCCCAAGGCTGCCCAGGCAGGAACTCAGTGCAGGGGTTTCTGGCAGCTGCTTCTCCTGCCAGGAAACGGCATGAAGCTGTTGCACCATGACTTTCCTGGCTGTGCTGCGGGGCCCAGACCTGGACCTACACACATTGAGGACAACATCACGTGTCTTCCTACCACACGAGTTCTACCTCCCCAGAAAGTGAGACGGAGGCAGGAGGGTCCAGCGAGAGGGCGCTTCCTGACCCTCTGCAATGCCACCAACAAATGGGTCCTCCTTCCGCAACTCACCAGCAGAGCCAGCGATGCTGGTGCGTCCAAGACCGACACGGCACGACCTCAAGCAGGTCCAGGCACACCCTTTGCCTGACCCTCTCTGGCTCCCCCGGCCTCCCTGGAAGGCCCCTGGTTGTTCCCTTGCATGACTGGGTCAGGGCACTGCCACCTCCGAACCGGGTCCTGTGGCTCTCCAGTGCTCTGGGGGCGCAGCCCTGCTCCTACATGACGATGCCATGCATCTGTGGCCAAACAGCCCGCAAGGGGAAGGGGACACGCACAAGCCCGGGGGCTTTGGGTAGAGGCTGGATTACCGAGGCCACAAAGACGTCACCAATGGTCTCCACGGCATCCCACTCAGACACGCGGCTGGCCAGTGCGATCTGGAACATGGAGTGGCACTGCAGGATCTCCCTGACTCGGTAGAACACCACCTTCCGCTTCCTGTCACTCAGGAGCCGCGGTTCCGTCTCCGACAGTGGCTTCTCGTATTGCTGAAGCCACAGCCAGTGCAGCGCAGACGGGTCGAGGGAGGGAAAGAACACCTGAGAATAGCTCAGCCAGTGACCCTGACTTCAAGACAAACGGCAGGACACCGGACGCCAAAACATAGACAACACTTCCAGAGTTTTCAAACTTGAGTACTATGTGTTCATACATATATAAAACTTACAGGCGCATGTAAAACATGTGTGATTAAAAGTACCTAAGTAAACAAGGATGATAAAAAACAAGCGGTACCTCCAGAATCCTCTTAAGAGCGTCAACATAGTTCTTTTCACTTTCAACAATGGAACCCAGAATATATCTTCTCACAACCTATTAGAAATTTGGAAACAGAATGGGAGAAAATTGCTTCAAATACATACAAATAAACTTTAATACTAAGTTGAGGTTTGTTGCTGCAAGTAAGTTTTTTTTTGGTACCAGGGACTGAACTCAGGGGCACTTGACCACTGAGCCACATCCCCAGCCCTATTTTGTATTTTATTTAGAGGCAGGTCTCACTGAGTTGCTTGGAGGCTTCACTACTGCTGAGGCTGGCTTTGAACTCGAGATCCTCCTGCCTCAGCTTCCTGAGCCGCTGGGGTTATAGGTGTGTGCTATCGTGCCTGGTTCCTAAGTTTTGTTTTTTAAATAGTAGGTACAGAAAACCTCCAAAATCCTCTTAAATATTTTAAATGTTTTGTTCAGTAGCATTACAGGTATAAAACACTTCCTCTATTAATATAATTGTATGACCTTTTAAATCTCAAATTAGAAACATAACTACAGCAGGAAAAATAAAACCATAGTTCTAAAAACAAATAAAGTCACTAACGTAACAATAGTAAGCTGAATTAACAATTGTACTTCATGTGCTCAACACCGTTAGATGATATTTCATGTTTAATTAATTATAAAAAACCAGTTGCAGTTTTGATCAAAGAATGCTATTAGCAACACTCATTGAAATCGTTATTCCAAAGTCATGGGAACACAGAGAGCTTGTTGAATGTGGAGGAACTGGTTCTGTGGTTTTCTCTCTGCAAAGACCCTGTGACCATGCAAAGGTCCCCCTGTGAGGCCAGGTGTGCAGGGGAGGAGTCACTCCGGTCACAGAGGGTGCTTGCCTTCCCAAGGCTCACACATCTCCCTGCACTGCCTCTCGGCACTGAAGCCCAGGGAGTGCAAACCTGGGGCTTGAGGTGCCTGCAAGAGGCTGACGCCAACACCCAACACCGGCATGTCACCTGAGCACTGCAGCAGGAGTCAGCCAATGTGTGGAAAACCAGGCAGGGTGTCACAGCAGAGCTGCACCAGGGCCTGCGTGTGCATGCACACATACACACATGCCACACCTCACAATGCACATGTTGCACCCTACATGCATACATACATCACACTTCACAGTTTGCATGCCATCCCACATATGTGCACACGCTACACCTCACACACGCACATGCCACACATGTACAGTCACACCTTACGTGTGTACACACTTCACACATGCACACATGTGCATACATGTCATACCACACGTCAAACGTGTATACATGCCACACCTCACATGTGTGTACACACCTCACACGTGCACACTCATGCAGACATCACGCCACACATGTAGATACACACCACAGGCGGATACATGCTACACCTCACACACTAGCCAAGGTCCTACTGAGTGATAGTGGCTGAGGGTGCTGCAGTGCCACCTGGTGGACAAAGAGCATTTTCCACAGAGGAAACGCCTGCTGTTAAGACTGCAGAATAACCAAGATTCATGGAATCATCATTCTCTTTACAAAACAGACTACAGATTTAATTCATAAAAATAACAAAAACAAATCCTTCCAGAACACCTACGGAAACGTATATGTTTCTTAAAATACAGGTGTGGCTGGGGTTGGAGACAAACAGGACTGAGCAACCTAGTAGCCACAGCATGACCTTGACCTTGGCTGGCTCACAGGCACGGGCTGAGCAGACTCTTCATTCTAAAATGATCCTCACATCTTCAAATCTCCCCCATTCTTCCTTCCAAAACTCAGACCCCACACACCATCTCAAGGGTCAGGCCCCCTGCATGCGTGTGCATGTGCATCCTGAGATGCTAGAAACACGTGAGGGCAAGGTGCTGAACTGGTATGAGATATTAAAATGCAAAACCAAAAGCAATCTCCCAGATTCCATGCCGCTGCAGGTAACGTCCACCTTCGTGGGCAGCTAGAATTGACATATCAAGTAACATGCCCAGATTGGGTGGGGGGACAGGAGAGGGTCCAGTGTCTTCCCAACAATGACCAATCCAAGGTCAAGATCACGGTCGAGGAAGAGAATGTGCAAAACAGAAGGAACAAACAAGGGGAAGTGGACCACCAAGGAGGGCAACTGACTTGAAGGACACAGGTCTGGTGGAGGAGCCAGACCAGGGAGGTTCTGGACCAGTCCACAGATACCCTGCTGGGCACAACATGCATGGGTCCAGGAGGGTGACAGGCAGGACGTGGTGTCCTCAGAAACCAGCGTTCTTTTTCAGGAAATGAACAAGGGCTTCCTCCATCCCCGGAAGCAGGGCGCGTAAAGTATGCTCAGCACACAGCCTTCCCAGCTAGTCCTGTTACCTTATTCCCATTTTTCAAAGGCGAAAAGAAGGGGAATTCAAAAGCACCACCTCCAGTTTAACCTTTAAAGACAAAACTCCCACGGAGAATGCAGCTAACAATAGCAAAATCGAACCACGGGAACCTGACTGTAAGAAGCAAGCTGAATGGAAAACACCGCATCCTAAGTGCTGGAGGGCGGCAGCAGCCAGACCCAGCTCTGGCCTTTAGAGCTGCCGTGCTGTGAGGGAGCACCCGAAGCCCTTCCTCTGCATTATCTCTGTTGGGTGTGTGGGAGAGTCCCCTTCTGAGAACATCATGGAATCCTTTACCCTTGCCCCTCCTCTCCAAAGGGCGCCAAGCCAAGAGCACCAAATTCAGGTTTCCTTGACCAATCCCCAGAGGACCCAGTGTCTGCTCACTGAGTCACCTGCCAATCAGCACCAGCCACATCCCCTATGCCACCCTTCTTAAGCCAAAGCTTGTGTAGGCACAAGCTCTCTCCTCTGTCCTCTTCTTTCTCTCTCTCTCTTCCTGTGCTCTCTTTCTCTCTGCCTCTCCCTTTCTTCCCCTTTGGGTTGAATTTCCGTCTCGCCTTCCAATCTCCCTAGTTCTTCCTGCATGGCCAGGAAGACCTCATTAGCTGTTAGCACTGCCATTTCACACAGAGCAGAGAATGGGCTCAAAGGCAGCATGAGGTCCTTGCTTAGCATCTGGATGGCCATCTTTTTTTTAAAAAATAATTATTTTTTAGTTGTAGTTGGACACAATACCTTTATTTCATTCATATATTTCTATGTGGTGCTGAGGATGGAACCCAGGGTCTCGCATGTGCAAGGCGAGTGCTCTATCGCTGAGCCACAACCCCAGCCCCTGGACGGTCATCTTTTTTTTTTTTTTAAATATTTATTTATTTAGTTAGTTTTTGGCGGACACAACATCTTTGTTGGTATGCGGTGCTGAGGATCCAACCCAGGCGCTACTGCTTGAGCCACACCCCGAGCCCTGGATGCTCATCTTAAGGAAAAAGTTTCACTTTCCTGCCCAAGAGCGTTTCTGAGAAAGGCTCACCACTCCCTCATACCAACCCCATCCTTGACCTTCTCCACTGTTCCTCTCCGCTCCCCCAGGCTCCCCAGCCCCTCTCTGCTCCCCCCGGCCTCCCCTGTCCCTCTCCGCCCCCCCCCCTGGCCTCCCCAGGCCTCCCCATCCCTCTCCACTCCCCCGGCCACCCCGTTCCTTTCTGCTCCCCGGGCCTCCCCCTCAGTACTAGGGAAACGTCAACCTGCCTTTTGGGCAGAAAATTGACAGCTCCTAGGTATCCTTTTTAACTTAGCATCTTTATGTTGCCTTCCTTGCCTGTCACCGACACATCACCTGTCCATGTTGTCCTGTCACTCTCTCCGTCTATACACTGGCCCATCTCTCACTCACCCCTGACCCTAACTTTCCGTCTGTCATCCATCCATCTGTCCATCTGTCCTTCACCTATCCAGCCGTCATCCCTGGTTCTTGTATCCATCACCCACCCATCAACCATCTATCTGTCCATTCATCTCTCCATCTGTCCATGGTCTGCACCATGCTACGACGTAGCACAGAAAAGAACTCAAAAGAACTTGGAAAAGAACTCAAACCCCGTCCAAAACTTCATGCCCTGCCTGTAAGTCCCCTCAAACTCTGTGGCATTATTCTTGCTTTTTAAGTTTTCTTTTCCCTTCACCCAAATATGACCAGATAGAAACCACTAATTTTTTCTCCCTTTGCCATCTATGATCAATTTTAAGACATGAGGATTATTCCATTAGCTCCTGAAAACTGTTTTCATCTTAATTGTGGCTCCTGAGAACATACACTGACTTTACCACATCACACACTGGCTCTTTGTAAAAGTACCGCAACAACACAAACTTGTAAGAATTGTTGCTACAAAGACTGCAATCACTACACATTCCTCAAAATTCCACAAGAGATGGCATTCAGAATACGTCAGGACAAAGTGACCTGACGGAGACTGCGGTAAGACCTGGGTCCCCCGGGAGGGCCCTCCTGGGTGCAGCTGGGACCAAAGGCAGGCAGTGGTGACTGAGAGGACGGAGGGCAGGGTGCCAGGACAGCAGGCACCGACCAAGCAGCGCGTGAACACTCGAGTGTCTTCCCCCTGGCCCAGGGCACCTGGGCCTTGCCAGCCCGACCCACCTGCTGCTGTGATAAACCCTCGGGCATCGGTGTCAGGACGGCCTCTGGGTGCTTGCAGTCCACATCAATGAACAAACTCTGCTCCTCATCAAGACCAGACCTGTGATCTTGAGAAAAGGTGAAGATCATGAATCTCACATTCAGATCATGCACTTAGACGCAGCACAGAAAAGTCAGCTGTCGCATGAACCTCTCACACAGACATTTCCATCTCTACGTCTACTTTCCTCCCAGCTATTGTTGACTTGAAATTTTAACAACCCAAACAAAATACCCATGAGGAAACTACAGCGTCAATATTTGAAACTGAGCTTCACAAGGCAGAGGTGTCACTTGGATGGCTGGGAAGGTAGCGTGACGACAACTGTTCTGGTTTCTCAGCCTACCCTCGTGGTCTGAGACCAGGAAGCAAGCAGGTGCCGAGACAGCTCGGAACAAAGCATTTAGGTCAGTGGACACTCAGGTGGGACTTCCAGTGTTCCTGACTCTGTCTTCTTCTCAGACGAAAGTCTAGAAAAGGACAGTTTCCCCAAAACCAAGAAGTTCAAACTGAAACTACAATAATTTTTAAATGCCAGTCTCCACCAGATGGCTAGAAGACAGAGCGCAGGAATCTCTAAGTGAGAGCAGCCTGAGCTCTCCAACTCCGAGACCCCAAACCCTGGCTGCACAGAGACTAGCTGCGGGGCTTCCCACAGACCCCTGCCCAGACTCCTCCCTGGGAGGCTGCAGGGCTGGGGTGGGGGCTGGGCACACGGCCTCTCTAAGCACTTTTGAAGTGATTCTGTATAAACCCAGAACTAAGTTCGCACTAGTTTCGTGAGCTGCTCAGGGAATGGAGCCAGAGGGCTCAGGCACCTGTCTGTTGAGTGCTGCAGCTCCCCGGCAGACCCCCAAGACCACCTGCTAAGCCAGAGGTGCACCACAGCTCCTCCCATGGCCTGCACCCGTCCCTCGGGGTACTCGGGACGTGGATCCTGCTGGGGCCTGGGTGGGGCCAGGCTGGACATTTCTGACCCACTCCGTCATCTAGGACCCAGACGGACAGAGGTTCTCCTGCGGGCGGCAGTCTCTGGGAGGCAGAGACCCACAGAATGTGTGCAGGTCCCAGCTGCTCCACCTGAGGACCCTGCAGGTGCTGCTGGAGACCAGGCAGAGGCCATCTCCATGGCAGCGCCCTCGCCTGGTGCCGGGATGCTGCTGGCGCTCTCCTGGAGAGCAGAATTTGCAGCACATTTCCTTAGAATGCTCGAGTCTATCTCCTTCACTAGTGAGGCCACAGGGGTCCTGACGGCCCTCTGTCTGGCTAACTCCAATTCCACACAGGGCTCCTCAGCTGTTCCCTGCAGAGACACCTGCTGTCGAGTGCTTGCTGAGCAGGTGCGTGGGGAGTGCCACGCACACCAGCGCCCGGTGTGTGGATACAGCCATCCAGGAAACAGGTGTTCCAGACCCGTCAGAGCCACGGCGCTCGACGGCCCTCCCACAGCCCAACCTGGTGTCCGTGCAGGGAGGACTCCCTCGGACGTCAGTGACCCGGCCTGCAGCTCACTGCCAGCACGCAGTACTTGTGTCCAGGGCCCCAAGGCAAGACCTAGGAAAACGTGAAATCTGACCCAGTGAAGAAGTCCCAGAATCCCGCCGAAACGGCTGCCTCCTTGGCTTGGGACTGTCCCCACAGGACAACCGCCAGGAGCCTGTCCACACGCAACCACTGTGCAGGCTCAGGAAACTCACCGGGGTCCCTGGCGCTATCCTGTGTAGGAGAGGGCATGAGATGGGGGGGAGAGCACGGAGTCGGCTGCCCAGAGCCCTCCTGTACTGTTCTCTGCTTACTGTGTGTGCCCCTCTGGTGACCTGGGGACTCTCAGCCTAGCAGTGAGGGACCCCTCCACTTGAGGGGGCAGGTTGGGGTAGCTGGGCTGACCCAAACCTTCTCCAGCAAGAAGGGGCAGCTCCAGGACCACGGAGGCCGAGGAACCTGGGTCACGTGGCACAAGTTCGGGGTCCTGACCTTGAGATATGAGGGACTTGGTCCTGATGAAGGAGCGGCCCCTCTTCACCGCGGCTCTCGTCTTCTCCAGCCCGTCCTTGGTGCCCTCCCTGGCCGCCTTCATGAGCTTCTGCATCTGCAGGGAGAGGGAGTGGGTGAGGCGGCGCCCAGGACTTGGGCCGCTGGGCTGGGTGTTTTAAAAGAGTACTGTCAAGTAGGCTGGCCTTGAGGCGGTGCCCGAGTCTGGGTTTTCTATACGGGAGCACTTCCCTGGTCGTTGTCAGTGTGTGTATGGCTCTGTGGCTTTTACTCTCATTTATCTGTAAAAATGAAAGGTAAACAGGGACTTGGGACAGCGCCCGCCCTGCCGCGGCCTCTGAACGCCAGACCTCGCTCTACCACTCTCTCTCAGACAGAGCTCGGCAGAGCCCCTGGCACTGAAGCCACAGAGGCCAAGCTGGCCAAGGCACACCCAGCACCACGCGGTGGGACGGCCCACTGCACTCTCGCGGCTCCAACCTCCTGCGTTCTCCGCAGGACCCTTCCTGAGATGCCCATGAGCAGGCCTGGTCAGCTGCTTAGCGGTGCCTCTCTAATGGTCACCAGACCCCACCAGAGCATGGAGCCCCGAGGCAAGGCGGTCAGGCGGTGGTAGACACGTGGGGAAGAAGTGAGGGACAAGTAGACGCTCGACATCCCCTAAGGCAACTGCCACCAGCACTCAGGAGCTCTGGGCTCGTGCTGGGACTAACTTCCACCCTCAAGACCTGACACTTGAGGGACTGGCCAGTGCCTGCTCAACGTCCTCTTTCCGAGTACACCCAAGCGACCCTACAGGAGACCAGACAGCACCCTGCCCCACTGGCCCCATGCAGCCCACGGCCCCACCTCTGCCCCCTTCATGTGGCAGGGCATTGCGATGAGCTGGCCGCCCTGAAGGTTTCTCCCCAAGGCCCTGGGCTCCTTCCTATGGGCACCTCTGGCTGCCATTCAACATGTTCACCCCAGTCTGTGAGACGCCCCCACAGGCACCCCAACTCCAGCTTCCACCCTGAACTGGGCCATTCTCTCCAACTACCGAAACTCGGAAGCCACTGTCACCCGCTGCACGCCTGCACAACAGTGGACAGCCACGGCTGGCCAGCCTACGTGGCTTGGTGGCTTCTCGCCAGGCCTCTGCCCTCACCCTGGGGGCCTCACACCCCTGCACTGCAGTCCCTCTAGGTCCTGGTCCTTCCTCAGCCCAGAGCTGGGCGGCTCCCTGCACCTGGTGCCCGGCCTGACCATGTGGGAAGCAGAGGACAGCTGCCGCACAGGACAGCCCCATGCGGGGTGGCAAAACAGCTTGGCCTGGGGCTCACCCCTGGCCACGTCCCTGCCCAGGCCTCCTGGCCCGGCAGGATTCTCTTCTTCCTGAATGACAGGTGCCCACCGGGTCTTGCTTCACATGTCTTCTGATCCAAGCTCGGCTAAGTGGGCGGCACTGCACCGCACCCCTTCCACAGGGCCTGGGGTCCCTGGGAGGCCCTGGGGGCAACCCACCACCCTAGACCTGCCACCCTGGCTCTGCTCGGTCCTGTGGAGTCAACCACAAGGGCCTCTTGCAGCTAGGGCTATTCAGGGTATGACACGTCACGCACAGCGCAGGGTCAAGATGCGGTTGAGGGGAATTACTTGACAGTGCTCTTTTAAAACACATCCAAAGAACTGACCTTTGCAATGTCCACACCCAGCAGTTCTGAAACGTCTTGGCCTGGGAGCGATTCTTTACTCCCTTAAAAACTGTCGTTACGAGTATTTTTTGTGGTGCTGGGGCCTCGTGGGTGCTAAGCATGTGCCCTACCACTGAACTACACCCCAGCCTTTCCAAGCTAAAGGAGACTCCCAGGGGCATGAGTTTATCTGGGTTTTATTAACAGAAAGTGACAGCAGCAGAAATTAAAACTGAGAATCTTTGACTACTTGTATTAATTTTTATTTAAAAAATAAACCCACGACACATCATCTTCAATGTCGTATTTATGGGAAACTCCTAAATTTTCCAAACCACACAGCAAGGGCCTGTCTTGCCCTTGGGGACATCTGTGCCTCTGACCCGCTGCCCTGCACACAGGCTCAACACCACCCTCGCAGACCTTCTGCGGCTCCTGTTGCTTGCGAGGCAAGGAGTGTAGAAGGCACACAAAGGCCAGCATGGACAGCCAGAGGTGCCGGGTGCACCCGAACCCTGCTCCAGCCCGGTGGTACAGAGGCCGGGTGCGGCGGTCTGCGGGCAGCATCTCTGGCCATGGTTGGGAAGAGCCACACTACCTTGCGCTGGCGCCTGCGCTGCAGCTGCCGCCCCTCCACGGTGCCCACCGTGCTCGCCACCAAGCCTCTCACCTTCTCCTCACAGTGCGCCTTTAAACGGGTGAGGTCATGGGAAAGCTGTGGCATAAAGAGACACAGCTTCAAAACAGGCCCTGCCTGCACAGGGCGCCTCAGGGCAAAGGACACTGGCCCCTCTCCTGGGCCCAGGAGTTGTGGCCGGGCGGGACCCACGGCAGCCCTGCTGATGGAGAGGTGAAGGCCTGTCGGCCGGAGACTCCACCAGAGGACACTGCCCTGGCCACCAAGGTGGCAAGTGCACCACACACCCATCAGCACCCGACGTCACTCAGGAGCACCTGGGAGGACAGCCGTGGCCTGGGCAGCACCACGCCTCTGCATCAGTACCCACATGGGAACGCTGCCTGTAGGACTGCCTCCACGCTGCTCCGGCCTCTCACTGAGCGGCTGGGCTGGGCTCTTTTGCACTGACCAGCATCTCAAATGCACACCCCCAAGCCCTCTGCTCCTCTGGGGGCGCTTCTCATGTCCACCAGAGAAACTGTTACCGTGTTTAAACTGAGATGTCCCCTGACTCCCCACAACTCATCGCTTTACTCTGGCAGTTTTAAAATATAAACTCTTAGGCTGGAAACCTGACCTTCCTGTGCACACCCCACCTGGTGCTCCTGGCAGGAAACCCAGTTTGGCTGCCTCGCAGGGCTCCACATCCACAGGCCAGGCCCGTGCGGCCCTGCGTGCTCCTCCAAGCAGGGAAGGGCTGCCCAGTCACTGCACCCTCTCCGACATCCTTGCTGGTGTGCTGGGGGCTCGAGTGGGAACACAGTCCCCTGGGAGGGCAGAGCAGTCGTGCGCTGCCCAACAGGCCCAGCTGCCACGTAAGCCACAGGACAGAACCAAATGTTTCCCCCGTGTGCTCCAGGCCACCCTTGAATGCTACACCCGAGAACTGCTCTTGAAACCTCAGCTGCCATCAGGAAGGTCTGACCCAGCCCCGTGTTGCCCCAGTGTCCAGAAGGAGCCTGGTGACAAACCTGAGCAGCTGAGCTGACCACGCTCACCACTGAGTTCAGAGAGCACAACGGCTCCAAGCAACCCTGCAACCTGCCAGCCACAGAGACGGGAACTGCATCCGGAACGCGGCCTCTGGTTGTGGGGTCACTGGCCACGGCCACTAGTCACAGTACAAAGGTGTCCAGCCTCAGAGAAGGGCCGCATGTGGCCTGCCTGGTGACCACACCCTGGTATGTGGGACTGGACACGCTGGTACCCAGAGACCCTCCCACAACTGGCCAGAAGACCCCCACCAACAAAAACTGGGCCCCCACCAATGGTAAAGGCTCACTGCAGAGGAGCCTCGGGGAGGAGGCTGCAGCCACGCACAGCCCCACCAGCTCTGGAGTTCACTCCTGGAGGGTTCCACGTTCCTCCCTGGACCCCACCTGTAGGATTTCCACAAAAACATTTAAAGTTCTCCTTAGGAAAAGGTCATCTCAGGCCGCCTGGGACTCCGGACTCATCCCTCCACATGTCCTGAGTCCTTCCGCCGGAAGCAGAGCGGCACCCGTCAGGCCACCGGCTGCGGGCCTGGCACACACAGCAAGCAGGAGCCACAGGGCACCACCAGGACCCACACCACGCCTGGACAGTGAGCCTGCCTGGGGTCCTTTCAGCGATGGAGCCTATGAAGGTGTAACGTCCCAATTACCTATGATCATTCACCCCACGCAAAGATACCTCGTGTTCTCCCAAACTGAATGTCGAGGTCTTAAAAACAGTCCCATAAGTGCCCTGTGAGTAAAATCCACATCTCACAGCCCGTGCATGTGCCGAGGGGGGGACAGCCACCCAAGCCTAGACCCACACCTACCTGCTTCTTGTGGCTGCTGCGCAGGAAGGGCCTGGGGACTCCATTCCTGCATTCTGAGTCACTCTGCTCTTCGTAGCTTTCAAATTCACTCGAACTCCACCCATACTCCAGAGAACTGTTTCCACCTTCATCTCCGTTCTCCACGTCGTCATAAATCATTTCATCTGAGTGCACAAACACCAAGACAACATTAAAATGGAGAGGCAGCACACCAGCCTGGCCGTGACTTTACCTCGCCATCTAGCCCAGGGGTGGGACACATCCCAGTGCCTGACACGCTTCTTGGAAAGGCGCCACTTGGTGGCTCCTCCACTGGGCAGCTCCTCGGTGGTTCTCATAGGTCCCCAACCCCATCTGCTTCCCAGGGATGTTGCTCTGTGGGAGCCCCCCCACAATGACACCAAGTAACTTGTGAGCAACAGCAAACTTTCCATGAAGCAAAGTCACAGGGAAGTGCAGACAGCACAGAAAGATGACAGACAGCTCGATGACGGGCAGATGGCAGGTGGGCAGAGAGACGGCAGATGCTGGCTGGGTGGCTAGGAGGAGGGGTGACAAACAGCTGCTGACTTCCTCTACGCAGATGAAATACTGAAGCACCGACACAGTGCACCTGCTTCAAACAACTGTACAGCTTGCTTTTATGCTAAAAATGGTGATAAAACTTATAATCTGCTAGTGTATTTAAATGCCTTTCTCACATAGGTCATTTCAGAACGAATGAAGACATGTCATATTTATGTCACCAAGTCGATGACAAGGAGCTCTCTGTTAAAACCCCAAGGGCCACCCACGGCATGTGTCCTGTGGATAAAGCTGAGCGGTGCCTCCTACAGTGGGCCAAGGCCTGATGCCCACGAGAGCAAGCCTCCTCCCAGCAGGGGCCAGGACGCCACGATTCCCACTAACAAGCGGCATCAGCAGAACAGTGAGGTGCTCCCCCGCAGTGGTGGCTGCTGGCTCCAGGGCTCCTGGAGGACAGAGGACGTTCTCAGACCCCGAACACATGCCTTCCTGATCCCAACTGTGCGTCTCAGGGGCACACATGGCTCTGCATGAGGCTGAAGTTTACCGAGGACAAAGGACGGAAGGCAGCCTTCTGCTTAGATGGTCACCTAAGGGCAGTCTACCTGGAAGATGGCATTTCCTGCATCAAGATAAATCCGTATCTCTACGACCTCTACCGCGCAACCTCAGTCCTTCACTGCGGTAAAACCTGGACTAAGAACCCTGAGCAGCGAGGAACACACTCCTCAGGGGGAAGGCGGCGTCTGCCTCTGCTGGAAATGGCCACTTTAAATCCCTGGAAGTTCCAGATCCTCCCCCAGGGCTCCTTCGCCTCCCACAGGTCAGGGCTTGCTCCGCTGGATGGGTGGATGACGACGTGAACATCTACCCTCTGCAATTCCTGGGTTCAGACTCACGGTTTCCAAAACTGAGGACTGAATCCAGCCCCCACAGCGCCCGCCCGTCCCTCCAGCCGCAGCCCAGGGCCTGCTGGGCCACAAGTCCAGGAGGGATCTAGGTATACACAGCAGCTGCACAGCTTGAGGAGCCGGCAGGGGGTGGCCTCTGTGGCTCCAAGATTCTGCTGAGCCCCTCAGTACCCTCCCACATGCTGGCCAGGCCAACGCCAGCCACCAGGTAGACTCTAGGAGGAACCTGGGCGCAAGGGCAGCTATCCCAGAGCCATGAGGCGCCTGGCCCCTGGGACTCGGAGTCCAAGGAGGGAGTCTCCGAGCTCACTGCATCCGCTTCATTCAGAGACACGGGAGCGTGGAACTCTGAACGGGGGAAAAGGCAGAGGGTGGCGGGCACACCTGCTGCCTACCCAGACACCTGCCCGGAGGCTTCACTGGTCTCACTAGAGACAGAAGTGACTGCTGCCCGTCTAGCTGACCAGCCTCGGTCCTCCAGGTCAGCACAGGTCACTCCTGCTGGTGCTGTCCCGAAGGACACGTGCACCACCAGCGCTGACCCGTGCCCGTGGCTGGACACTGCCGAGTCCACACTCAGCCTGTCTGGGCTCATCTGCTCTGTGCTTCCTGAGCTTCCCCACCTCTTGCCCTTTACCAGTCGTGCTGGGCCCTGGGCCATGAGTTTCTGGAGGTCCACCTGCGGGGGCCACAGGTTCTCAAGCATGGCCTGACTGTTCATGCCAAGCCTCACGTGTGGGCACCACATCCCCACTGCCATGGCGTCAGCAGGTGGTCCTGAGGGCAGAGTTCTCAGCGTGTGATCAGGGCCCTTCGTAGGGAGACCCAGGGAGCAGCCTGCCTCCTCCGCTGAGGACGCAGGGAGAAGGCAGAGTACAACCAGGGAGGGGGCCCTGACACCAACCTGCACACAATCGTTGCCTCCTGTCTCTAAGACACCCAGGCTACTGCATTCTGTCACAGTGGCCCAAAGGGCTGAAACAGACGTGAGCCACTACTCAGGAAATACCGACGTGTTCTTCAAAACCTCGGGGCCAGCAAGACACTCGAGGCAAAGAGCATCAGCTCCAGTGGGCAGCACGATCCTGGCCAGGGAAGTGTCGTGCTGACCTCAGAGGACCATCAGGAACAAGATACTTTCAGACCTTGAAAAAGACACGAAGACACTTGGCTCCCACAGCCACAAGGTTTTGGGAATGTTTGTGAGCAGAATTTCCCTGCAAGGAGAACCAGGGGAGTTGGTCCCTGAGCATCAACTCTCTGCAGTGCTGTCCTCACAAAGAGGGCACAGGCCAACCAGGACCACAGCCATCCCTGGCAGCCACCTCCTGGCAGACCCAGGGCATATTAGCTCGAGTCCTGTGTAAGCACAGGCTACCTGGCAGGGCCAGTGACCCTACCAGGTAGATGAGCTGGCCTGTAGGCAGTGAGCTGGGGCCCCCCTTATTTGCACTTACATAAATCACCTGCTCCAGGCAATTGCCCTTATCAAGAGGCCCAGGTGGGACTGTTGGCCTGCAGGGGAATCCTGAGAGGGGCACAGCTCCTCCTGGGGTGGACAGGCCCCAGGCTCTCCAGAAATGGATGAACTAATGAGTATCTGACACTCCACCTCTGGAAGTCTGACGGATTTCAGGAACACATTCCTGGTCAGGCTGGGAAAGGCCCCTTCTCCTGTAGTCTTCCCAACGGCCACTGAAGTGCGTTTGCCCTCACCCTGTAGAAAGGACCCGACTCCCAGGACACACCCACCGGGCTAAGTGGGACTCTGCTTGTTTTCTGGGACACCACTGGACTCATCTCCGGTCTCATCTGGGGCACCCAGATTTCGAGGGAGGGGTTTGCAAGTTTATACTACGTCTTGAGTTTAGAGCCTCGCCCGTCTGCCATCACAGGAACAGGGTGCACTGGAGGGTCGCTCGTTCCTGCAGTTCATGGGCCAGCCCTGTGCCTGGGGACTGTTCTGCACATGAGCCAAGCCAAGGATTCAGCATCCTCGATTATTGCAGATTAATGCTTTCAATTTCAGATACAGCTGACTCTACAGAAAAACTTAACTTAAGGGTTTTAATTTATCGAGGAAAAGCTATGGCTTCTTCAAATACGGGCTGCACCTACACTCTGGGTCTTCTACAGTCTTCCCCCGCTCCCCTTCTCCGCTTCTCCCCCTGATGGCACCACCGGGGCGTGCCTGTCTCTACTTTTCCTAGGACTGCCTGGGCTCTGCTGAAACCCTGCTGCTGTGTCATTCTGTTTTATCACTTTCCGGTATCTTCTTTCCTCCCTCCCACCGTCCTTAGTGTACTCTGCTGTCTGTCTGTTCTCGTGACTGGACTGTACCCAGGCTCAGGACTTTGCGATCCATTTTTAACATATGCTATTATGTAGATAGCTTTATTATCTTAAATCTACCCTACACATTTCTAGATTATTCAAGTCAAATTACTTCTGATTTTCATTGTTTTCAAACTGACCACAAGTAGCATAGCAGTGATTGATAATTCCCAAAATGTCTGTGGTTTTTACCGATCTTATTGGACTGTTACCTAGGGAGGAGACCTAAACAGCAATCCTCTGACACTCTTCTTCTTTGTGGCACATTGGGAACTCTCTCCATGGCTCCATGCGTCCTTTCTGTCCCTCAGACTCACCTTCTACGCTCACTGGCCCTGCATCCCGGGTCCTTCCACAGGGGAGGGCTGCCCCTCCTACAGTGACGGAACCAGGTCAGAGTGGGCTCTAGGTATCCTGGGGCTATGCCGTCAGGAAACCCGGGCTCAGCACTGCAGACCCGCGACGATGCTCCACAGCGGCCCCAGTGGCCGCCTCACAGAGCCCGGGCATTTCTTTTCCTACCAGTGACTTTCAGATCTTCTGCATCCCTCTCTCTCTCAAGAGAGACACAGTTGCTCTCCATTTTATCCCTCTGAGGACTTCTCCCACTGGCAACTGGATCCGACTCCCGTTTTCCGTGAGAACCAATGTTTGGACTTCTGCAGACTTTCTCAGACCACTGCTACTCTTTCTTAACTTACATTTCTACCTTTAGCCAGATGGGTCTGCTCTACAGACGGTTTGTCATTTAACACTGCATTTCACTCTCTTAGCAGTCACCCATGAAAATTGGACCCTCACAGGCCACAAAGCGAAAGGAGGCAACAAAGGAGCCCGGCCAGCTGCAAAGGTGGCCTCAGGGCTTGGTGGAGCAGCGCCCTCCCAGGCACAGGGCCACCCAGGGCTGAGCCCCACGGAGCTGCCACTGTTATGGGTGGCCCTGGGCTTGCAAGGCTACACATGCGCCTCGACCTCTGTTCACTCCTCTCTTCTTCCCTCACTTTCCTCTAGGCTCAGCACTGCGTCCTCAGAAGCCTGACATTAAGTATGTCCTCAGCATCCACAAGGGAGCAAGCTCCCCAGTCTGTGGCCGGCAGATCTTCCTTCTTGAAGGAAACTGCAAGTCCAGGTTCAGAGAGAGGCTACTCCCTCACTCCCTGGTGCTGTCTCCCAGATGGAGAGGGCTGCCCCCCTAGTTCCTAACTACAGATCCGCCGTGGGCTGCCGGTCCCAGCCACCCTCCACGTTCCCACTGGATTTGGGACTCCGCTCTGCGGCATTAGCCTAATATAGACTGGTGTTTAACTAATCCTGGGTTGAGTCAGTATTTCTGAGAATTTATGTCTTTCTGTCATCCTAGAAAATTCTTAGCAATGCCCCCCAATCCTGATTCTCCACATTTTCCCACTGATGTCATCTTCAGACACAGGCTGGGGCTTCTTGGCCACCAAGGGTCTGATGTCTTTGTTCCTATCGTCCACATCTTTCACTCCTGCTTCACGTGCTGTCCACACATATGTGCATGCACACCAGTGTTCTACCACACCACAGCAGCGAGCCACGGACCACATGTGGAATGTGAACACAGAACACACATGCACCCGGCCCCGGGGTTGTGTGCATGCTCAGGAGCCCCTCCGCATCCAGAGGGAAAGACTGCTAAGCTCAGGTCCAGAAAGAGCAAACCTGGTTCCGAGTCTGAATTCTCCCTTGGCACATCATCGTAAATGGCTTCCTCTGGATCTGCAACAAAGGGAAGAAGCTGTAAAGGCCACCCTGAAGGAACCACAGGCACTTGGAGCTCCAAGGGCCACCGTCCCCTGAGAAGCCACACTGGCTTAAAAAGCCACTTTAGTGGGCTTCTTTGGCCCACCATGGGACAAGCACTGCTGTTAGGGAGGACTCTTTTGTTCGGAATGAGAGATGCCACTCTGTGGACAAGCTGTGGAAGGCCACAACAGGTGACCTGTCCTATGACCTGTGTTCAATTACTCATCTCTGCATGGCTCTCCTACACAAGACTGTGGCCGTAAAGCCTTCTGATGTACAAGTACAAAGGTGACATCCAGAGTTTTGGAAATAAAGAGGGAACCACTTGTGCCATGTAAAACAGGAAAGCATTGACATGACCGACGGTCCCATGGTGCTTGCAAGGTACACGTGGGGGACGAATGTCTCAGCTGGCACCTCGTGCACCACTCCTGCTCCATGAAGGTGAGTTTCCTCAGGAGCGGGAGGCACAGGCCACATGGCACATGCTGTATAAGACGGCAGTGACCTTGGCATTGACTGAAACGTGTCTGTTTCACAGAAGGACCTTGCTACTTACTTTTCTTTTTAAGCGGGGGATGGCGGGCTGCAGGGTGGGTACCAGGGATTGAACTCAGGGGCACTCGACTACTGAGCCACATCCCCAGCCCTATTTTGTATTTTCTTTAGAGACAGGGTTCCACTGAGGCGCTTAGTACCTCGCTTTTGCTGAGGCTGGCTTTGAACTTGTGATCTCCTGTTTCAGCCTCCTGAGCTGCTGGGATTACAGGCGTGTGCCACTGCACCCAGCCTGGGTTACTTTTCTAAAACACTCACTCACTTATCAGTGTTCCATTCTCTATAAAGAACCACTCCAACTGCCAAGTCTTCCCATAGGAAAACCCAGGGTGAGGCTCCCTGTACATGAGCAGAAGCTCCTCCTGCACCTGGCCACCGCTGCCAGAGCTGGGAACATGGCAGCTGCTGTCACTGACGAGCTCAGGGTCACGCGGGCATTACAACTGCAGCCCCAGCAAACACTGCCCCTGTCTGAGACGGGGTGAAGGACACTTGTTCACAGCACTACCTTTCAAGTACAACTCTTCTAATTAACTGGACTGTATAAGTGAGTAACAGGAGGAACTGGGGAAGATTTTGCATTGGAAATAAAACCACTAGCAAAGAGCCAGATGATGATTTAATTCTGCGATGATCTTGATTCAGCAGCTCCTGGCAGAACCAGCTAGTTAAGCCAGGATCTGTGTTCTGCGAAGGTCAGGAGCAGAGCCAGTGTGAGGATTTGCAGGAGGCAATCCAATGCTCAGCAGCAGCTGCTGAGGTATCCCCCAAGTCGACGTGCAAGCGTCAGAGGACCGGTGGGTCATAAAAGGCATACTCAAAAAGCAATCTTTACTTTTCATTAAAAATTAAAGAAATGAATCTAGCTAAAACGTGTGCTAGACGTGGCATGCTGGCGGGCATGCTGAACGAAGGGAAGGGCCTCATCCTGGGACATCAAACAACATGTGGAATTGCAATCTGTCCATGGCTGGCTGAACCACTGCCACCTCTAGTCAAAACCGTCCAGGACAAAGTGGCTCCTAGGAATTGCAAGCAAGAATGCCTTGCCATCCCAGCAGAGTGGCCAACATGGGCTGCAAGTCAACATATTAGTTTCCCAACCAAAGTCCGTACCAAGAGGTGCGACAGAGAGGTGGCAAGTGCCAGATGCGATCACCTGTAGAAACGATGGCCCGTCAGGGAACCTAGGGACATTCCCACCCATTCAGCCTCTGTGACGCTTTAAATAAGTGAGAAATGTTAAAGCTTCTGATCTCACCAAAGAGAGGGCTCAGGATACTCACTCTCCATCCATGCTGTGTTGGCAGGGTCTGCTGCCCATTGGGCAAGGGCGCTGCCACCTCGGCTGTCTTGATCACCACTGAAAGAAAGCACCATGAAATCAGAACCCGCAGAAGCACCCCACCTCGGAGGAGTGAGCACCCGCCATGTGCCCGCGTGTGCACGGCTGGGCCTACTAACTGTGGTTTCCCTGGTATGACTCTACAGAAATCCCATGCCCAAATTCATCCCGACTTGTCAGCAAGTGCTCTCGACCACCTCTGCAAGCAGCAATGGGACTAGCACCACAGGACACAAGACAAATGCAGTCCCTGCCAGAAGGCCTGACTCGCCTCCAGGTCTGCACCATGCTGCACACGACACTGGGCGTTCAAGGCCTGAACCTTCACCCCAACTACCAGTCAGGGTCAGAGAGACACAAGGCCACCCTAGCCCATGGGTGAGTCACAGGGCCTGACAGGGACTTGTATCCTGTCCTGGGCCACGGGAAGCCACTGCAACAGTCCGATCAGACCCACTGGAGAACCTAAGGGGACAGCTTCAAGGGCACCGCTGCTGACAAAAGGAGCACCAGGGTGCCAGGCCCAGGACACTTGCATTCTGCTGGCACTTCTAAGGGAAACTGCAGAAGCCTAACAGGCCCAGAGGGAAGAGGGGACTGGGACGAGGCCAGCATCCAGACACAGAGGAGCAGAGCGCCAGGATCCAGGCCATGGAGGAGAGGTGCCTTGCCAGAGAGTGACACGGGCGGGGCCACAGCAGACACTGTTTTACTGAAAGCTCTAATGATAGCTGCAAGACTCCGAGGACAAGACTGAACACCATACAGCTGTCAGCCACACGCCCCAGGACATCTCCAGGGCCCCAGTGGCCGCCTGACGCTGCAGGGGCCTGGGATCTTTGCACACAGCTTCTCCTGCGTGACTGCCGGCATGCTGAAGGAAGGGACCTCAATCATCTACTCGGAAGCGTGCCGTGTGACACGTACGACTGGCTCATTTCTAAGTTGTTCGCTTAGTACTTTAGCACTGTGTGTGGCTGAGGAGACCTGGAACTGCAGAAGGCAGACCGCGGGGGCTGCAGAGTCCCAGGGTGCTCTGCACAGCCCGCCTCAGGGCGGCGCAGGGACGCGAGCCAGGGCCTGGTGCTCGGGCGCAGCCCACACCGAGAAAGGAGGGGCACTGCACCTTTCAAGTGTGAGAATACACCTTTAAAAGGGTCCATTTAAAAAGTAAGCAAAATCCTGAAGGAAACAGGAAAGGTATTTTAAATCATTATGAGCGTTTCTGCGTTTAAAAGTCTTGTGCTCTGGAACCCCCCCCTTCTGTGGGCTCCGTTCTGGCTCCTCCCCTCAGGAAGACCTCGCCTCCTGGCTCCTCCCCTTCAGGAAGACCCCGCCTCCTGGCTCCTCCCCTTCAGGAAGACCCCGCCTCCTGGCTCCTCCCCTTCAGGAAGACCCCGCCTCCTGCTCCTCCCCTTCAGGAAGACCCCGCCTCCTGGCAAGCCGCAGGCTGCTGGGGCTGCGAGCCCCACCCTCTCGCAATGACTCTTGGGTCACGGGTTCCAGGCAGGCTTCCTGAACCAGCCTGCACTGGCAGTGCGTGTGGGTCTTGACAGTGAGTCTTTCTCCCCAGAAGCCTGTCTGTGGGAGGCTCCAGGTCTGAGGTCCTTCAACCCTGAACCCTGAAAGGGAGAACAAGCCATGCTGAAGACAGCACAGCCCTGCCCAGGCCCACAGCCCATCGCCCTGGGGCAGCTGGGTGGCCCCACGTGGGTAAGGCACCTGGTGACCACGCACTGGCCTGAGGGAGGCCTGCAGCACTTGGAGGGGCCTGAGGCAGGAAGGGGGCCGGGCCGTGGGCAGCAGGAGGCTGAAGGAAGGGCGGGCACCAGGCACGTGGGGTCAGTGCATGCGGCCCACCTGAGCAGGCAGGGCCTCAGGACAAAACAGCGACCTACCTGAGTGGAGGGTCTGCAGAACTTAGAGAAGCAGGCTGGTGGTCCTCAGCAACCTCCAGAGTTCCTGCTGGGAAAGAAGAACCCATGCTTTACATCCCAGAGTGTGTGAGCGGTCATCGCTCTCCTCTCATGATGAGTCCACAGCTCCCTTCTCACCACAGGCTTATGTCACCATAAAGATGACTGGAAGGCTTAAAAACCTCCAGTTCCTAGGCAAAATGTGCTCAGCATGGGGTCATGACACAATGTGAAACCCCAAGATCCACAGAACAAACAAAGCACACGGAGGTGCAGACAGATCAGGCTGCAGGTCGAAGCACACGGCCCTCTAGCTCCAGTGTCCGTGGGAATTTAAATCTGATTTATTTGCAGGGGCATCTATGGACCAATGCAGATGGCCCTCAGGGGAGAAAGCGTGATGTGGGTCCAACCTTTTGCACACACACTCACACTCTCACTCTCTGCACAGGGCCGACTCAGGAGCCTGGGCTCCAACAGGCATCCTCCTCTCAGCCCTGTGTGGGTGTTGAGAGCGGAAATCATGGCAAAGGCCATCCTAATGAGAAGACGGCTGACGAACAGCCAATCAGGTGCCAGCAAGAGAAATGAGTCTCCACTGTCCACACAGAGGCCTCAAAAGGGACTCATTGATGGGTAAGCCACCATTCCCAGTCAGCTGCTGGACGGCTGACTCAAAGGCCAAGAGAGCACAGCCAGCTTGGCGACTCCACGGATGAAGGCAGAGTCACACAGCACAGGCACAGGTGCAGGGCAAGGAACTGCACACAGCAGGCAGGACTTCCAGGCCACAGAAGCAGGCCTCTGTGCCCAGTGCTGCAGGAGCTCAGGCGGGCCTCCCAGCCTGCTCCCACCCAACTTCTTCTCACTGCAGGGGCTTCCACATGTCCCACCCCGAGAAGGTTGCAGTTCCTGGCTCGGATCCTCCTTTCAAGAAGGAAAGTGCAAGTTGGGTGTCCTCCAGAACACGAGAGCTCTGATGTGGGGCAGGGGCCAGGGGAGCATGCTCACCACACAGGGCACTGCGAGCGCTCTGCTGGCAGAAGACAACCACGGAACCAAAGCAGCACCTGTCTCAGAGGCCTTCAGGACGGCCTTGGGCAGCAGGCCAGGGCTCGGTGTGGGAAGGGGCCAGGCTAGCACAGTGTCCCAAGATAATCCTAAGGGTCACAGCAGTCCCCATCTCCAGGGCAGAATCCTGGCACCAGAAGCTGAAAGGCAAGCAGGCTTTGGACCTGCCCGAGACCAACCCTCCTTGGAAAGAGGTCAGAGTGTTCATCTCTCTTCAAAAGGTAAACACAAACGGCCTTGTTCCTTGGCTCCAGGACTCACGGCAGAATTGACCACACCATGACTTTATTACAGGCTCTTGGTTGACAGTAAAAATAATCAGCAGTTGTTTTAAGATTATGCTGAGTGATTTTTTAAGCTACTTTAAATGATGTTCAATACTAAATAACCAAACAACTTAAAAACAGGCAAAGCACTTTAAAAGGAGCACATTCTCCTCAAGTGAAGGCCTCCATGACACACTCCCTGGTCTGCAGACGGGCCAGCTTCATGGTTACAGACCAAGGACAGACCATGGCTCATGGCCCACTGCAGAACAAAGACAGGCGGAAGACACCTCTCCTACGAGCCCTCTGTGATTTCCAGAATCAAGAGCTTTCTTTAAGGAAGGTGTTTCTCTTAAATTGCTGCTAACTAGAAAGAAAAGGATCTCTGCTGAACTTCCCACAAGAGCACAACTGCGACTCACACCTGGGCCACTCTCATATGCCGCTCACGTTCTGAGAAGGCCATCTCTAGCTAACTCAGCCCAGCCACTCGAGACCCTCGCAGCTTCTGCGCTCTGGGTAGAGAGGAAGGCAGAGACTGACTGCCCCCACCCCAGAACCGAGGACACAGGCTGGAGAGATGGGTGAACACCTGTCATCCCCAGTGCCTTGCTGCACACCCTGGCATGGCTGTGGGGTCTAGGCCTCTCCCCAAGGTCTCTTCTTGCACCTCACTGGTGTGGCCAGCTCTGGAGCATCTCCGGGCCTCCACTGCAGGCCTGCTGCCGGGCAGAGGAGACACCTCCCAGGCAGAGTGTGCCCTTGCCTCTCCTTCCCTCCTCACCCCTCCTCACCGAAAATGAAACAGCTGGACAACAACTCAGAGGACGGGCTGGTTCGTGGGTCGACAGGTCTATCAGGACACACTGTTCCAGCCAGCAGCGGAACAGTGATGGTGAATGCCAGAGGAGGTGTGGGGCGTGGTGGCACTGCCAGAGGTCACCTATGGCTCCCTGGTCTTCAGAGGCCAGACTCGTAGGCTCAGCCTCGATTTCAAAGCCCTCCTTATCTGTGCCTTGTGGAAGAGAGCACTGATCCAACCCTGTGAGCAGGAGGGTGACTAAGGTGGGGAAGGGAAGACTGAGCACGTCCTGCAGAGCCAGCGTGTCCCTGGCTGTGCCAGGGAGCAGGCGCAGTACCTTCCTCCTCCGCAGACTCCGTGCGGATGATGGCGGGGCTGCAGTAGGCTGGCTGCAGCAGGGGGAGGCTGCAGGGGACAGCGTAGCCGCAGGGCACAGGCACTGAGTACCCGCTGGGCACCTGCAGACCCACGGCTTCCTCCTCGGCGCTCAGGTCGGAGGGCGGCGGCTGGTCCTCCTGGAATGGCGTGATGTCGATGACGGAATAGGGGTTCACTCTGGCTGGGACCGCAAGGGGGGCAGGTTCTGCCACTGCCTCGCCTCCTGGAGGGCGGAAGGTCACCTGTCAGAGCACTCAAGGGCAGGCAGGTGCCCTCCGTGTGCGGGCCAGGAAGGCTGGACGCACAACATATGCCTGGCGTGTCCAGATGGATATAGGAGACCACAGTCCATGCAGCACACTGCAGAACTGGGGTCCACACCCGCTCTGGGACAGGTGAGATGGACACTGCCTGGTGGCTGACCCTGGACCACAGCTCGGGCTCAGCAGCCCCTGGTCCCTGAGCCAGCCCAGGCCTGGAGTCTTGAACACGGAAAACCTGGGTGACTCCACAGGCTCCGGGAAGCCCCTCCCCGCAGGGCCACGCTGTGAAGAAAGGCAAGTGGGACTCACCAGCAGGGGAGGAGGCTTCACCTGCCTCCTGGCCCTGTGGCCCAGCGTCTGCCGGGGCTTGTCGGTCTGCTTCCGGAACTTCATCTCCACTGTCAAAATCGAACTGCTCCCCCTCCTCCTCCTCGTTGTTATTAGCATCATATTTCACTTCATTTTCTAAAATGTAAGAAGTATGGATTACAGGTTAACCGTTATTCTTGGCCCAAGGGCTTGCACCTTCCTGAACAAGGACAGAGACCACGGGGCGCTTCCCTCCTGGAAAGCAGGAGCAAGGCCAGCAGCCAGAGCATTCCCAAGAGGCAGACGGGCCACTCCATGCCCAGGAGGGCCTGGGCCCCAGCAAAGAGAGAAGGACAGAAGGGAAGCCCAGGCCGAGCCTGCACTACTCAGGAGCTTCTGGAAGTAAAACATAGAAAGGACCGTGGAGTACTCAATGGCCGAGGGAGGCTAGAGGAAGGGAGGGGAGGGTGGAGGAGGGAGGGGAGGGAGGGGGGAGGGGGAGAGGGGAAGGGGGAGGGGGAGGGAAGGGAAGAGGGAGGAGGAGGGGAAGAGGGGAGGAAGGAAGACGAGGAAGGGGGAGGAGGGGAAAGAGGAGGGAGGAGGGGAGGAGGAGAGGAAGGAGAGAGGGAGAGGAGGAAGGGAGGGGAGAAGAAGGGAGGAGAGGAAGGGAGGAAGGGAGGAGGGAAGAGAGGAAGAGGAGGGGAGGGAGAAAGGAGAAAGGAAGGGGGGAAGGAAGAGGAAGAAGGGGAGAGGGGAGGGGAGACCAGAGGGAGAGGAGGGAGGGAGAGGAGGAGGAAGGGAAGGGAGAGAGGAAGGAATAGAAGGAGGGAAGGGGAGAGGGGGAGGGGGAGGGGAGGGAAGAAGGGAAAAAAGAAAAGCAACAATCTAAAGGCAGGGACCCCATGCTGAAGTCGCCGCACCCCAACTGGACACTGATGGGTGTGCTCGGCCGGGTCTGGCCCCATTTGGCCCATGCTCTCCCTGCACTGGCCGAGGCCTCAGCCCTTGTCCCAGCCAAGGCCTTCTGCTTGCCCCAAGGACCCTGAGAGCAGCCCCAGTGCCCAGCGCTGTGGGCCATACCCTGTCTGCGCGTGGCTCCAGCTCTCTCCGCCCTCCAGCCGGGGCTGCTCTTACCCAAACTCAGGCTGGCTGGGCCTCACGGTAGTGTGCACAAGACTGGGTCTGCCATGCCCAGGGCATCCGAGGGAGCTCCTGGCCTGGGGCCCAGGGCTGGGTGACCAGGGCGAGAGCAAGGCCGCTGCTCTCGGGAGAGCTGAGCCCTCCCCTGGGCTTGCCACATCAAGAGGCATTCAGTCCCTGGCTCTCCAGGAACTGAGGTTGATACAGCCATAGTATGATTTCTTTTTCTGAAACATAATCTGTGGCAGGATTTTAGTATTAATTAGGACAGCTCTTGCTGGTAGTGTGACTTTAAAATCAGGAACTGAGTTTTGCTTTCTGAAATACCCCAAAGCATCTTGCGAGACGATTTCTTTACACGTCTCAGGTGGCTGTCTGAGCTGCTCGTGGGCCGCTGCAGACACTGCCTCCTTGCTCAGCCCTGTGGCAAGGCTGGAAGAGGCGCTGCTCCGTCTGTCCTTCCTGAAGCTGTCTTGTGTTTCTAGTCTCCCCCAAAACTCTAAGTGTCTCCTTCATATCTCATACCAAAAGTACAAGCCTGGGCATCATGGCTGAAAGGCCAGGGCTCCCACAGCTGAGGCCCACACAGGTGAGACCCGCCCAGAGGCCAGTGCAGCCACAGAACCGGCCTCTCGGCACCCATTCACACATCCCATGCCTCCTGGGTCCTCCAGCTCCAGATGACCCTCAGAGGTCAGTCCCCCACTCAGCAGGAGCTCCTGCAAACAGTGGCACCTGACAGTTCTCTGGGGCCTCTCCTCCCACTGGACACTCTGGGTAGTTCACCACGCCACAGTTGGCTCTGGTGTCTCTGGGGCCCTGCTCACTTGGGGGCAGCTCTGCCTACAGAGCTTCTGGATGAGCATAACCAGGGCCAGAGGTCCGTGTGGCGGGCAGCACAGGGTGGAAGAACCGAGTGCAAGGCCAGTCTCCTCCTGCCCACATGTGCTGGGTCCCAGAGGAGCTCCCAGACCTGTGCAGCCAGCTGCCCGCACAGCTTTGCCCCACCTGCCCCACCAGCCCAGGTTTCGCAAGAACAGGAAGCCCTGGGGATGCCTGCTACAGAAATGTTAGGGTCCACCATGGGGCTGGGGCCAGCCTTCCCTGCCACGGGCATCTGGGCAGACTGAGCTCTGGCGAGGTGATAAGAAGGCTGTACCTGGTGTGGATGGACAGAAGAGATCCATGCTTGGCCCTGAGTTGCCCCAGAGAAAGGAAGCAGGAGAGGACTCCCTGGACCCCGTTCCAAGTGCCTGGAGAGGCTGTGTTCTAGTGGTGGAACGTTAGCCCTGGCCACTGGGCCTGCACGTGCACGTGGCCTCTGAACAGGAAGCCCTTTCCCTTCCACATCAGTCAGCTTGGGTGGGTGACGGAACACCTTGCAGGAAGCTGAGATGCCCAGGACAGGCAAGCCTGGTGCAAGAGGCTCACAGGTGCACCCCAAGTGCACTGGCCTAAGAGCTGGGACCCTCAGAGTTCATATCCCCTCTGAGCCCCAGCAAGCACCTCATCATTCTCCCTGAGACACTCTCACCCTTGTCTCCCCCACCACTCGCCCCCGTCAGGAGCAGCCTCGTAATTCCAGAAGCACGGAGTGTTCAGGAAGAGCCCCTAGTGCCCCCGGGCTCCTGGACACCCCTGTGGGGGCCACACACCTGTGGGAGCAGGAGGAGGGCCCTCTTGCTGGTCCATGCTCTGTGGCTTGGTCAGGGAAGAGAAGCCCCTGCAGGAAGCGGAGACACCGCCCGTCACATGCTGGCTAGGCAAATGTCACTTTGTCACCACGTGCAGGGCTTGTAGTGATGGCCTGATGGCCCTGTAAGGAGGAAACACAGCTGTCACTTGCAGCTGGGGTTAAAGAACTCATCCCCTACTGGCTGCAAACCAAACCAAAGAGAGAGTTCTCAGCCAGCGCGACTTCTCCTTGGGTCACCCGGAATCGCAGCCAGCAGGTAGCTCACAGCTGGGACCACTGGGCAGGTCCCTGCCAGCCAACACCTCCGCAAGTCTTTGCTTAAGTTAATTCAGGGTTCTGAAGGGAAAAATCAGCACATAAGCCAAATGTGTATTCCTCTTCCTTCAACTAACACCTTAGCAGTTCTGAGTAAAGAACTATCAGGATCAAGGTGCAGCTGACAGTTTTCTAAGCTTCCTCTGAGGGAACAAGTAACCAGTCTCTTGGCTAGGACAATCCCACATGTCTGGATCTAAAAAAGGGTGACACCCAGAGCTCACGAGAAGGCTGGCTCCTAGCTCCACAGGAGGAAATCCTGTCCACTGACTCACAGGAGACCTCCCGCACCCACCTGGCTTCAGACGGGGACAGAGGGTTGGAGGAAAAGCCAACTGCTTCCGTTCCCACATCAGGAACAACGCATGCGACGGACGGCGACGCCTGCCCCCAGCGCCTCCTCCACTGCCAGCTGCCTACCCAAGGCCATCGCTGGCTTCACATGCTCCTCACAGAAAACAGGCCTGGAAAAGCCCTGGGGTGCCAGCGGGCACAGCCTTGGACTTCGTCTGCGACCACCTAAGCCCAGCCAATTATTTTAGCCAAATTAATTAACGAAATGCGGTACTTTCCAGAGAAAGCCACTGTGTTCTCAAACTAAGATGAGCTGGCAGTGCCACGAAGGCTCTCATCCACTGAGACGCGGAGGGCGCCAGGGGCACCCATCAGGAACAGCCACCCCTCTGCCCCATGCTCCCCTTACTCAACTTTTCCCTGACATCCTCACGGGCATTTAAAAGCTGCCAGGACCTTGCCCAGAGCTGCACACCCTGTGTGAGCAGCTGGCCCTCCTCACTGGCATCCGGAGTCTCAGTTCCAAAGTCCCTACTTCAGCAACACTCGCAGCTCCACAGGTACCGGGAAGCTGCTGGGAGCAGTGGCCTCCCTTGGGAGGATCACAGTCACAGCATCGCCCCAACAAGGGGGTTCTGCCTCAAATGAAGACTCAACAGCTCAGAAAGTTCAAAGGACCTACCCAGGCCATACAAGGGCAGGTGTATGACGGGGAGCCTCAGAGCCCAGAGGCTGGGGCAGAATCTGCCTGTCCACATGCCAGGGGAGACCTGGCAAGTTCTGAGATTGTGCAGCCAACTGCTACACCTGGAACTGGTGGGCAGCAACAGTGTCCACCTCCCAGCACGCTGCAGGTGAAACATGGTGCGGGGGATGAGAATAGGAGCCTCGTCAGTGCTGGGCGCGCACGTGCCAGCTGTCACTGCTGCTCACAGTGGGGGACAGGAGTGGTCACTGCTGCAGTTGCTGCTACTGTGCTCCAGGCCCTCCAGCCACACCTGGAATCTACATGCTGCACACTGAGGACATCAACAGAAGTGGCAAAGGAGCTCATCCCCATGGTGGGAAATGGACTTGGTTTCCAGTCTAAGGCAGGCGTGCTGAGGCTAAAGGCTGGGTCACAGCTGGCAGTGCCACAGAAGGAAGGGTCCTCAGAGAGAAGCTGAGCAACGCGGACACTGCCTGCAGCTGGACAGGGATGTAAGTGAGGGCAGGCAAAGGGCTGCTGTAGTGCCAGTCCAGCCAAGGACACACCTGCTGTGCTGCAGAAACCCGCGGTTCTGAGACAGAATCGACTCGCCCTGCACACACACATGCAGGTGCACACGAGAGCCCCCAACCACTCACAGCAGCGCACTGCATTCTGGGCAGACATGGCCACAGACTTCCTCCAGCTTCTCCCAGGGAGGGCGCAGGGCAGGGAAGCAGGGTGGACAGGACTGGACTACGGGAGGCAGTCCTGGTGACCCCGCGCCTCTGAGGCCGAGGGCAGTCTGCACAGCCAGGAGAAGGAGGAGGTGCTGGAAGGCCAGCTTGAGTCCCGCGTTTCATGGAACACCGCATCGGGCTGCTCGCATGACGCCCGTGCAGCTGCAGAACAGTCAGGGTGCGTAAGGAAAGGAGCACGGAACGGCACAGTGGCTCCCGCTGGGCCCAGGCCCCGTGCCCATCCTCCAGAGTGCCAAGGTCTCAGGAACAGGACAGAGAGGGCCATCAGTGAATGTCCCTGAACTCTAGTCCGGAGAAACGGGGAAAGAAAGACACAGGCATCTCCAGACACCTGCCACAGGAGAGGCGGCTGCCCCGCAGCCCTGCCCAGTGATGGCGGAGGCTGAATCACCCGCCTAGAGGGCATGGGACAGAGACCAGCTCAGCCTGCAGTGACCCGAGCTCTGCTGTGCGACTCTGTGGCAAGGGCCAGGGCTCGCCTCAGCAGACTGAGCACTGAGGTCCGCAGAGTGGCACAGCACAGCATGGGTTTGCTCTTCTGTAGAGGTCTTCCTGTCAGCAGAGAAAGCAAGCACACTCCACCTGCATCTGCTCAAGGTGGAACGTAGGCACGCTGGCCCACTGTTGGCAGCCACGAGGCTCGCTGAGTCTTACAGGGGCCCAGTGTGCCCTCTCTTTGGCTAAACATTTCCTGACCATGCTGCGTGGGTCTGGCCTCACTGATGCTCTGTTTTTCTGCCCAGAACACCTGGAAAAAGGGTCAAGCCAACCCATCTCACCAGTGTGACCAGTATGAGCAGGATGAAAAAAGAATAGACACCTGAGTTTTCAGCAACACCTGATCTCTGAAGTCACACTGGCTGGCACTCACACAGCACTTACACGTGTCAGCTGAACTGGGGCTTCACACATACCAGGCCACTTAACCCACACAACTCTCTGCCATTCCCCTGAGGCCAGAGGGCCGGCAGCAGGCCTGTGGCTCCCTGGCTGTCAGCGGCTATCAGGACTGCTACCCAGTCCCTGCATCCCAGACAGCGTGTCAAACAGATGAGCCAGGGCTCCAGACCTTCTCCTGCATGTGAGTGCCCCTGGACACTGCACCCCGGAGCAGGGGGCTTCTGGGGCTGACCCTCAGGTGGAAGTGGTTCTCACTGGAGCACTGGGGCAGGCGAGACCGACTGACGCGAGGCAGAGCCGAGGGCCTGCTTTCAAAGCACCCTGTGTCTGACCTGCGTGCAGCGTGAGCAATACCAGCCTCGGCTGCTCAGCTTTGTGTTCATTACTGCTGTCATCGTCCAATTTAAGCATCTTAATGAAAGATCTCATTGTGCATTTGGATTGTGGTTTTAAACAAAAGTAGAAACGGTCAGTTAAAGAGCCCAGACACTAACAGACTGCCCAGCCTTCTGTGTTCAAATATTGTGCCCCCTTTCATACAACTGCGCCTGGCCAGTGTGGCCACGCACCCCAGAGTCACACGACTGCGCCTGGCCAGCATGGCCACCCACCCGAGTTGGTGAAGGCCCCTGATCACCACCCCAGTGGTGGTATTGGGCAAAAGCTGCTGAATTCAGGCAAACAGGAAAGACCGCAGCCAGAGACCTCAGGAAACTGGGCATGAGCCCATGTGCACAGCCCTGCTGGAATCCCCTGGCCGAGGCCCTCAGTGAGCAGAGGGCAAAGGGGCTGGAGGCTCTGTCTGGTCACTGTTCCTGGTCAGACAAGGATCTGACCCACCCAGCCTGTGTCCTCTGCTGCAGCTGGGCTGCTGACGTGGCCATCCCACTCTGGCAGGCTGGCAGGAGCACCATATCTGGTAGCACAGGTGTCGTGCCTGCTTCAAAATGCTCTGCCAGGTTCATGCGACAAACAGAGGACCGGCGTACCCTGGGCCTCCTGGCCCCTCAGACCTTCAAAGGTGAGAGCTCATGGAGCCGTCCTGAGTCGACACTACACGTCACACTGCAGTCCCACCAGAGGCAGCCCCTGGGCAGAGGGAGGCTCAGGTAAGGCGCAGGACCGGCCCTCTCCAGGTCTAAGAGGAGGCAGCCAGGGAGCAGAGAGCCCGGGAGCGGGTCAAGAGCACGTGCAGCTGCAACACCCATGGGTTCTCGGTGGCTGAGCAAGACCTGGCTGCCTGTTGGGAAGGCTCTGTACCCATAAAGAATCCATGAGGGGGTGCAGACGTGAGTACAGGGTGCTCAGCCCACCCCACTGCAGAGAGAGACAGTGGACATTCCTCTCACTGTCCACGGGCACAAGCAGACAGGATGCTTACAAAAACTGAGAATCCAGACATGCTTTCCACAGTCACTCTTCTCCAGGACTAGGGAAGCCTAGCGCGTCAGAGCTACTGTGTGGCTGTGTAGACAGGTCACTTAGGGACTCCAGGTAGAATCTGCATCAGAGCCTGCGCCCACTCCAGGAGGGCAGCAAGCAGCCACATCCCTCAAGGTGCAGCTTCAAAGGCTAGCCATGTGCTGGGGCAGCTGTCTTCCCAAGGGCTACCAGAGCCCAGGATCAGACCCCCTACAACCACTCCTGCAGGACCAGACCCCCTACAACTACTCCTGCAGGACCAGACCCCCTACAACCACTCCTACATGACCAGATCCCCTACAACAATCACTCCTGCAGGACCAGACCCCCTACAACCACTCCTGAAGGACCAGACCCTATAACCACTCCTACATGACCAGACCCTACAACTACTCCTGCAGGACCAGACCCTACAACCACTCCTACAGGACCAGACCCCCTACAACCACTCCTGCAGGACCAGACCCTACAACCACTCCTGCAGGACCAGACCCTATAACCACTCCTACATGACCAGACCCTACAACCAGTCCTGCAGGACCAGACCCCCTACAACCACTCCTGCAGGACCAGACCCTATAACCACTCCTACATGACCAGACCCTACAACCACTCTGGTAGGATCAGACCCCCTACAACCAGTCCTGCAGGACCAAACCTCTACAACCACTCCTGCAGGACCAGACCGCCTACAGCTACTCCTGCAGGATCAGACCCTACAACCACTCCTGCAGGACCAG